CTTGAACGACGATAATCCATAGAAGTTATAATTACTAGTTCAAGAATGCAATTTCAAATTATCAAATTGGACTATTACAATATTGTCAATAATAGTCTGTGTAGAGAATGTTATAGGTTTTCCATTAAAACAAGTGTTATAGTCTATTCAATATAGATACACCAGAAAACCATTACTACAAAAGTAATTTTTATCAAAATTTCGCCATAACTTATAGGAGAATAAATTAAAAAAATATTAACACATAAAAATTAACCCATTAATTAGCTGTCATACTTAAAATTCACCCTTAATCAACCAAAGTCAAATATTGCCTATCTTGTGCCCCTAAATAAATTGCTGTTAGTTTTTTCCTTAGTTTAATTGCAAGTCATTAAATTATTAGTAGAATGCTCATAATTTGATTTGTAAATAATTTACTCGTTAAAAAAAAGGAACACGTATTTTTATGCGACCTCGTAAAAATCAAAACTCAGTAGACCAATGTTATTATATATTGTACTATTTTAATTTGAATTCATAATATTAAATACCTATTTATAATAGTATACAATATACATAAAAAGATTGAATGGTGTCAACGCGAAGAGAAATTGGATTTATTGGATTTTTTTTTATTAATTCTGTAATGAGTGAGGATAATAATGACCTATTCAATGTAAGAATATCGCAAATAAACATTAACAGAAGGTTCTTATGTGCCATCTATAAAAATTACTAATTGCACAGTTAGTTGTTTAACTTCCAAGTAGGTATTACTCGGACAACGATTAATTACCGTTAACCGTAAGTTTAAACATTTGTAACATCGACTCGTGTTCATACATCCTGTATAATTATTGTATGCTCGCGCCCTAATAATAAATGGATAGTTGTAAGTCTTATCACGCACCTAAAGAGTACATAACTGAGTAATTACATACATAAGAAATTATAGTAAATAAATGCGGTGTAATGAGAGACGTTTGATCAACTTGGGTAGCGTTAATTATTTTATTAGCAAGTACAGTGATTGTAAAAATGGTTTCAATTTACGGTATTGAATTGATTGTATTTAACAGCAACACTAATTGGTTAATTGTGTACCTGTACCTACAGTCATTATCATTTGAAATTCGAGAAATCATTTTTATAAAACAATTTATACAATGGATGTGCACAAATAATTGTTTATGTTTTTTATTTCATCTGATAAAAGACACGTATAGTCAAGTAAATATAGTTTGGCTTTAAACACCTTAAATTAAAACAATTTTGTTACAACTGAAATGCACAATACAACTTTCGAATAAACGCTTCGATGCGAATCTGTTGATGGTAGAAATACAGATATCGATAAAAGCTTTGTGATGAAAACAATGTGCTTAAAATTGTAATTTTAGTATTAACCTCTACTTAAAACCATACTTGAGAGTTAACAGCTAAACCAAAAAATTACAAAGTTTTAAATATATTTTATTGGATTTTAATTGGATTTTTATTTTATTCGAAATAAAAATAATGTGTACATTTGAAAAATAAAAAAATATGTTGTAATATTATATTAATAATATAGTTATTTTCGATTTGATACTTTATGACATCTTAGATAAATCTGTTACCTATTATAATTTATTGTTTTATTTTTATTCATACATAAAATAATTTATGTAAATTATGACGAGCAATCCAACGGAATAAACATTTTAAGCCATGTCAAAATAGGTTCACTTTTTTAAAAACACATTAAGTATATCTTTTTTTTTTACTCATATCACTATTTAATTTTTGAATAATTATTATAATAAAATATAATCTAATACACAATATATATATATATATATATATATATATATTAGAAAGTTATATTCGGAATACTTTCGAATAATTATACAGGATGGTTTTTAAAACAAAATTTCCTGTATCCGTAATCCGGCTTTACTGATTTTGAAAAACTGGTTTTATTCTATACATATAAATACGCATATGAATTAGTTTTATGCGATGCAAGCAAGTTTATTGTTTCTGTTAAGACAAATACGCTGTGCGTTACTCAAGTAATAAAATTAATCGAATCTGTCAGTATTATGCGATTTCGATTATTAAGATAACATAGCCTACTAGTATTTATTTTTGTGCGATATGCCGGAGAAATGTGTAGTTAGTATAATAATTCATTATTTTAAACATCTATTTACATAAAATGTCAAAAATGAATACCCATCATTTACTATTTAAACTGCTCGCGTGCCTAAAAAAGTATATTTTCAATTACTTACTAACATATTTATCATTGAATATTTTTTTTTTAATATTGTGTAGAACGTATGAACACAGAAGCCTCCTATTCTGTCTTGAATAAAATATTCCAGTTTTATAAAATAATAAAAATCTATTTTTTCTTTTTGTAAATATATGTTCACGTATCTATTAATAATGTTAAATAGAAGTTTTTGATATTTTTCATACTATAGAGTAAAAAATAATAGTTAAAATTAAAAAATGTATTTTTGGGTGTACTTAAAATACACACACTCGGTTAAACAGTATAATTATCGGTATTTTAATTGCACACGAAAAATATTTTAAGAGTACTTCAAAAGTATTTTTTTGAAATTCCTAATCGAATCTTGGTTTAAAAATAGTATGGTAAAAAATCAACGAATATAAATCAAACCTTCGTTCTCTGTCTTGAAACATCCGAATAGTCAAGTCCTAAACGAATTTCGATTCTTTTGAGTAATTGTTATCGTTTAACGAGGAGACCTCACTTGATGAATAAAAAAACTATAGCCAACGGCAGACCCTTTTTATTCTGCACACAATACTTTTATTTTGAAATAAAAATCAAACATTTTTAATAAAACAAGTTACAGTCTACTTAAAGCCTAACGGCTAAAGCTGGGAGGCCAAAGCTTTCTACAGTTATATTTTTAATAGAAAAATTAACAATATTATTGAATTTAGAAAAAATTGATTGTAAAATACACAATTTTTTAATGTAACTTATTGTTAATTATTAATGATTAAGTAGATAATTTTTTTAAGTTAATGAAAAGAAAATAATGCTTTCTATAAATATTTAATTTTAAACCCGCAAGGAGTTATATGTTTTATTTACTATGTAATTATATAGATAATCGGGTAATAAACATTTAATACGAGCAAAATAAAAACAAAAATAAAAAATGATAATATACTAAGTTAAGATACAATATTTATGTAAAGTATTATTTTCATTGATTTGTTAAAAATTTTATTTTAATTAGTCTTAAAACGCTATAATAATTATTTCAGTATTATAAATATTAGATGCCCTAAATTTGTATATATAGGCAACATATTTACGTGACTATATTTTTTGTTATGCGGTTTATTTTTAAGGAGTTTTATATAGGCACTATATAAGAAAAACAAAATTTTAATAAAATATTTCGGACATGCCAATTAATTTACCAGTCATTTTTATAAGCTTCAAGGTATTATTTTTAATTAAAATAATTTTTTCTATGGATAAAAGCCATTTTGGTTTATTTTAGAGCAAAAGGCCAGACAACATTTCGATTACTCAGGATTGTCTAATTTCAATTCTGTAAAGAGATTCAAATGGCTAATTTACTATGTTATGTTATGAAGCTAATTTTCATTTAAATATTTCAGTTACTTGTAATTAAATAAATTAAATTTGCATTTTTTTCAATAATGAAACTCAATTTTTTACTAAAAATAACCAAAAAATAAAAAATCTGTTTCCTGCAAACCTAGTAGAGTTCCCAAAGAACTCATAACTTTACAGAATTGTAATAGGGTAAATTACAAAACATTTACCATCAATACTGTTTTGCGGAGGACAAGTACGTGAGACCAATATTAACAGTAGATTTACCAAAGTTACACAATATATAGAGAAGAACAAATTAACTTGACATTAACTTTAGCGTTTTAATTATTTTGATATCTATAATAAATATTTTTTTATAAGCAAATGACAAAAAAAATAAACTTCACAAACAAATAATTTTGCTTATGTTTTAGTTATCAAAAAACTAAAAACACTACTCCGTAGATAAAGTTCTTCTCTATCCCTAGTAAACATTTTATATTGGTTACTGTAAATACCGCCCTTACATTCTTGTTCCTCGCAAAACCATTTGTCACGGGTAGGTAGCATCCTTTTAACAATAAAATACAACTTTACATGCTAGCGAGTTTTTCCAAAATAAAACGTTATTAAAATCAAAACCTGATAATTTAAGTAGTTTATACAATTATATAAAAAATAAAAATATTAAATGGTAAATACGTATGGTGGTGAAACTGTTAGTTTAGTCTCCATAAAAAGTGCCCAAATATTAAATACATTTTTAGCACTTAGAACCTTGGGTCCAGATAATGTTCCAGGCAAAGATAACACTTTACTTTGACAAAAAATTAATTATATTTTTTTTGATAGTCAAAGTACCTATATGGTTTTTAAATTAAACAATTATTTTGTACCTTGATTATTTTGAAAATTAAAAATAAAACATATCACTTTAACGAAACAAAAGGATTAGAAAAGATAGACATAAGTTTACAATAATGCTTGTTATTAAACAATTAAAAATGATAATACCACTCATAAAATAACTCTTTAATGTGAATGTAAACTCTCTAAGTAATTAATTGAATTTCTATTTGTATCAAGTACTTATCTTCCAAGTTATATCTGTATAAAATTATAATTAATGAGATTTACTACAAATTCAGAGCAAAAAATTATTTTTAAAAAAAATAGTTTGAAAATTTAAGGTGCCTTCCAATCTATATTGACTGTCAACCTAATAATTTTTGTCAATGCATACTATTGTTTAAGTTTCTAAAAACGGTCCTACACAATCATTTGTACATTTGGCAACGTGGTTCGGTGCTACGCTAGTCATGTGAGAGGTTTTGTCACAAAGTCAAAAGAATATATTCCTATCAAATACATCAGTAATGCAGAATTGGCTTAAGTCTAGGTTATTAAAAAAAAAAATTACCTCTGGAGCCATCCAATATGGTGTGCCGACAGATGTGTCACGTCGTCCCATGGTTGCTCCCAAATGAGAAGAAACGCCAAAATCGACTAATTTTACTTGTCCATCGTCTGTCAACAGTATGTTATGACCTTTGACGTCTCTGTGCATACAATGGTTGCGATGTAGGAAAGCCAGAGCCTATGGACAATATTTAATTTAGAGTTTAGTCTTTATAAATAAGATTTTAAAACAATATTATATAACATTAAATGTAATGTTATTACATTATTATAAGCAGTTGAGTTTTACCTGTAAGGTTTCATGTAAAATGTATGCGATTTGATCTTCAGTTAGTTGTTTTCCTCGAGATTTTAATCCATGTACTAAATCTGTAACTGAACCTCCATCACATAACTGTAAATGTAAATAAAATATAATTAATAATTAAATGTACCTAACATCAGACATAAAACATATTTTCTCAGCTACACATCGAAGCTAAAATTTACTAATTGCAAGTATTGATATTATTTTTAACGATCAACGGTTAATTTATAAGGAGGTGTTAATTTTAGAGTATAATTTTTCACTATACAACTTGTTATATAAGTAATAGCTTATAAGTAACTTAACAGTTATAATAATAAGTTGAGTTTGTTATAATTTTAGATCTTAATAATATGTCTGATAAACATTTGGGTATTTCCACATGTTCAATTTTAAAAATATATTTGAATTTGTCTACCGAGTGTTGATGTGAATACATATTTTGTCAATTATTAAGAACGTTTGTTTTCATTTTTAGTCATTCCTCAAAATTGGCAATATTTGAAAATAAAAATATATTTTCACATTAAATGTTTAAATATTGAAACATAACAAGCTCTGACAGATGCACAATTCATTTTTTGATGAAAATATTTTATTTTTAAAATCATACTCCTGGAAACGCCTAAATGTTTACCAAGCTTTTAAACAATAGTAGACTGATCCGAAGGTGGGCTGTTTTTTTATGTAAATTGCATAATAGCCTGAGCTGATAATTAACTTTGTTAATTAAGAGTCCCTGCTTATAAATCGCATAAAAAATTAACATTTACATTTGTACACTTATTTATTCCAAATTAAGCCTAACAGTTTGTTCAAAGATAAAAGTCTATACTCTACGCCACGCATTTTTGGCATTTATTTTGTTATCAGTTGGGGGTCACTGTAGTCATTGTTTTATAAATGTATGTATGACTTTCATAAATAATCTAGTCTATTTCTTAAATTTAATAACGTTTTATTTTAGTTTTTGTAAGCAAATAGAAAATACCTAAAAGTCTTACTCGCCTCACTTACAATTTTACATTTAATATTTGAACTTGATAAGATAAGTTTAACGTTTATAAAGTAATAAATAATCTAGACGCAAATATAAATGTAATAGTGTGATATAATAAGACAACAAAATGAAGAAGAAAGTAAATGAGAACTTATATATTGTCAATAGCTGGTACAACCTGATAAGTTATACTGTTGATGATTAATTATTACAATATAAATTCTACAATTTTGGAATTAATGGAAAAATTAGTATGTGCATGGTAACATGGTAAATTGTTTGTTAATGTTTTTATATATAATGTTATAATAACGTTATTTAAAATGTTTTTTTGTTACGTATACACTAAAATGTTAAACATTAAAAAAAGAAACGTTTCTATCATTATGATATATTTTTTTTTTTAAAAACTGTTTCAAGCTCTTGATTTGAGAGAGTACATGCCTATTGATAAGAACAAAAACCAGAGTATAATGATACTCTGATACATTGGTTGGTTCAGCATGAAAACTCACCTATGTATTATACTTAATTAGCATATGTTCTAAATTCTATACATCAGAGATTTTTTTAAACTGATAAAAATGTTTTTCATTATTATTGAAAACTTCACAAATGTCACTCACTTCCATAACAAACCATAACTGATCGGTTAGTTCTTTCGATCCTTTGACGAAATACAGTCCGTAAAACGAAGGTATGTTCGGATGCAAACTTAGATCTCTTAAGGCCAAGTATTCGTCTTCGATTTCTTCTTCATTACCGGCTATGTCTTCGAGTATCTTGATAGCGACAGTATCTCCTGAAAATCACAATAATTTAAACAACAATTAGTTTAAGATTAACCATAATATTGTTAAGGTCATTCGCATAACAAGTCATCTGGTAGTATGACAACCTAGGTTATTTTGTCGTTAGTCAATCGAATCGTAAATTAAGTAAACATGGATAGACCATGCCAAATACTTTTTTGGCGACCCAATTTTGGAAGCATACCTATAATGACCGACCGTTTTCTAATATAATAACCTTATTATTTTATGTGTTCATATCATTATCATAACGATGGCCTAATTTTATAAGCCCCTGGACTATCCGTGTAGATATTTTAATTTGCGATTAAATACACAACATAAAAATAATAATAATATAATAATTGACAATGTGTATAATATTAAAATATGTAGTTTTATGATTACCGGTAGCATTGTTTTTGGCACGGAACACTTCGCCGTAGGTGCCCTCGCCAATGAGTTCGTCGATAGTGAATAATCCTTCGGGACTGGGTACGGCGTCCAGCTCGAACCGTTGGCAAAGTCTGTGGTAGTCGACCATGCTGTCCGCTGCGAACAACGAGCAGACGACAACAATGATATTATTATGTCAGAGAGTCATTTGGAATTTTTTTTTCCTTTTTTATCGAAACAACAATAATGATAAAAATGAAATTTCAAAAACACACTACATCTAACGCCTGGCCCACATACGATAAAACGGTGCACATTATAACGACGAGTGTGTGTGTAAAATCATAATAACATGTTATCACGGACGGCGGACCCGTATTTTGTTATTATCACACGGAGGAGGAGTATAACTGTGTATCAACAGGAGGTTGAACTTGTAAACAAAAATCACCTGGCCTCCCTCCCGTCTTGGACGTGTGTGCACGCACATTATGATAATCCTCTCTCATGTCCTCTGATGCGGAACGCGGTTTTGAAAAAAAAAAAATAATAATGTGTACAGCGATGCCATTAAATCGACCGGAAGTGCATTGTAAAAAGAATTCTTTTAGTCTTTTTATTTTTTATAATGCTAATAGTACCTATGGTAGTCTACTAGTGTAGTACGTGATCCACATAATAATAATATAATGTATCACATCACTGCAACTATACATACGCCGTGCATACTTCACACGACTAATAAGCGCAATTATCTAATAATATGGTACTTAAGTTTTCAAGCAATAACAAGGCAAATAATACAAATGTTAAACATAATAATATAATATATTTCACACTTTTATAGTAATATATATATATATATACCTACATATTATATGTTATTATGTTATTACTATTATGACTGTGGTTGTACAAAATTATAAATACAGGTATTCCCATGAAACAGTTATAATAAAATATTTTGTGTTAGTCTCGAGGCCCCTACAAATGTTCTCCTAATTGTTTGTACCTTGTATCAAGTATGCCTCTTTTCTATATGTTAGCATATGGGCATACAAATTTTAGCTTAATGATAAATTTTATTGAATTCCCTTTACAATGTGCCTTAATAAGTGTATTAAGAATTTTCGAAAATATCCTATACTTTACTTCTTAAAAAATGGGTGGTTTGGCCAGTGCCAACGACCCCAATGCAAATAAATATTTATCGGCCCCTCCTCGTGTATTGTAAAATTAGTACAAATAAAGTAGATATAAATTATTTTTTACTTAAATATTTATGAGTAGTTAAAATAAATTATGTACTGTTGTACTCAGGTCTCAGTCTAATTATTTTGTCATTATCCAAAAATGAATTTATTCTCATTCGTAGTCTTTATTCAATATATATATATATATATATAAGTACTCATATATATTTAAACAATATATATATATATATATATATATATATTGTTTAATAATTAATAAACTATATATACCTATAGGTACACTCAATACATTAAAATCTTGACGTATTTAATACTATTCAGCTATTTAATGAACAAAATATTTATTAATTTGACCCAGTCACTTTGGCGAAAGATAAAATATTTAAATTTGAGATTTCGCTTGTCTTGTTTACATTTAACTGAAAACGAAAATAAACCAGTTATTATTAACACTGTCTAACTGTATTTTTAATGGGCTGATCACATTAGCAAAACCTTCTTATTTAGAAACTCTTAAAATAATAAAATTAAAAACAACAATATTCCTTTTTTATGTACCTATAACACAACATTGATATTATTTCATTAGCGATGCTTTTTTTAATAAATTCCATGTAAATTTATAATTATGCAAATAAATTATAAAAAATCATTCGTTGTAAACACTGAAAACAATTAAAAGATATAAACAAATTGGTGTAAACAGAAATAGTTTATAATATTTTGTATTTTGAATTTTAATGAGAAATAACAATTATTAAATAATTTTCATGTTGTACACATGCGTTTTTTCACTAACAAATGACCCAAATGACCGCTGTAATAACTATAAGTAATTACAATTATAATATTTGTCAGTATCGTTTTATTATTGCACGTCAATCAGGTTTGCTAACACGGAAAAAACAATAAACTCATTTAACCTTATATCAATGACGTATACAAATTTTTTTGAACAAAATAATGCATTTTCTAAATGCATATACAGTGTTTTATAAGGGTTTATCCACCGAAAACCTTTATGGTGTCTTGTGAATATTTGAAAACAATGTGCATAGTTTAATACAAAATAAATAATTAGTATTTTAGAAAATTGTTTTTTTTTTTCAAACTTTTGGTAACGCCAAAAAACAGTTTAAAATTTAAGTAAGATTAACTTTAGTTCAGGTTATAAATAATGTGTAGAGAAGTCCCACTGTGATACACGAGTATGGTTTTAAAATTAAATATTCATCAATCGTATTATCTATTTTATAAAACTTTACAATGATTAATCAAATGATATTAAGTCAAAAACATAAAAATTTTAAGAAGAATATCTAAATGATGATAAATCCTTTTTTTTGCAAAAAGTTACTTTTTTATTTTAATGGCTAGAATATTAAAAAATTCAAATTCTTTAATGAATTTTGTGTACTTAACAAATTTTGTTAAACCAAATTCGTCTTATTAACAAAATGACCTAACACTTTTTTTATTTTTGAAACCAATAGATTTTTATATTAGATTTAATCTCCGCATAGATAAAAAAATATGGCAGCAATATAGATACAAATTAATACTTACATTGATATACCTATTTTATAATGTTGATCTGACTTATTTTGACCAAGCACCAACTATATATAATATAATATATGACGATATCAGTACTTACGAGATAACAAGATATCACTGTACAGCATAGCAGACGTAGGTGTTCTTAATTTAAACAACAACAAAACTTACTAAAATTTAACCGTTCACAAATGAGAGTCAACAACACAAGTTAAATCGGAATGGAAACAAATTGGAAGTACGTTTGACTTGTAAAAAAAAAATCTTTACACATATAGAAAAACTTAACGAAAAAAAAAACTTTTAAGACACAATCGTTGTTTTTATAAAACATTAAAATATGTTAAATGAAACACTGATATATACTAACGTACACGGTAAGTTTTGCTGAAATAGTATTTTGTATTACACAGTGAAATAATTATATGTTGTTATGCACGAGCGATGTCCTTCGATGATCATTTTAATAATAAAAAAAAAGGGTTTTGAATTGTAGGTAATTTTGTTTATAGTAAAAAAACACACGTACACTGAAAACAGCGAAAAATTCAAAAGAAAAGTATGCGTTCGGAAAAAAGTAAGTAAAATAAAAAAAACTTATATATAGAATTGACTATAGCAGGTACCTATACACTAAGTCATAGGCAATACCTGGCAGCCGGTGGTCGCTTATTAAATTAACGTCAGTTGCAAGGCTGCGTGTTTTAAGTAGATTATAACGGAGGTTTAAAACGTATTGGGTCATGTCATACTGATCGAACGAATAATAATAATAATCATATGTCGACCATTTTAATGATTTACATTTTACACACGTGTAATTTTGTATTAAGACCAAAGGCAAATATCGTTTTGTTTTTTTTTATACAATTCGTTCTTAGAATTAATTTAGAAGGTTAACGACTTAGAGGACGTCGCATATGTCATTTTTCGTGCAATAAAAATAACAAGCATTCTGCAAACATCTCCTAAACAAATGTATGATACTAACTAGGCATTGACATTAATACAAATGTCGAACACCAAGACTATGTCTGCTCGAAGATTTTTTTTAATTTTATGAATACTTTTTTGGTTAAAAAAAAAGGAAAAAATGATTTTTTAAAACAAAATATAGATAGACTTTGATTTTAAAAATGCTTCGAAGGTACACACTAGTTCTCGTTTCAAAAAGATTAGAAAATGTTATCCACATTTTTGGAGACCTTGTTTGTATAGAAAATCATTATCAAAGAAGGATGTGATATTTTGATAAAAAAAATAACCAACAATAAGGTATTCCCGATACCATCTTAATAAATAAACAAAAAGGGTGGCTTAAAAACCCAAACTAAATGTTAGGAATGCAAATGATTTTGAGGATGCTAGTTTTATTTATTTAGTTATTTTAACTAGAAATGTATTGTGTATTAACCATAATTTTAGTTGGACCCACTGTTTTTTTTTTTTTTTGGTGAAGTAGCCATTAAAATATATTAATGTGAGTTTCGAATTGCGTTTGGTTTGTATATTATAATATTGAATATTCTCCTATTTCACCTTTTTTTTTTATTGTCTAGAGAATTATTTTTTTCCGATACATTTCTCGGCTGTTGGTAAGAATTTGTATGTTTTTTTTATGAATTACTCGCATTGGTCTCGTCGTGAATTTCGTTATTTTACTTTTATCAGTCTTCGGGTTATTTTTAATTCGCTATACTGATTCATTTACATATTACAATATATAAAATTTTTATTGATCTTTAACCGGAGACTTTCAAATAAATTTGGCCGTGTGAAAAAACGTGTGTTATATTATATTTATATACGTGTTGAGTTAAAGCGCGTTTCAACGATTTTCAATTGGATACTTAGGACAATTAATGTGACATTTATTCCTCGCCGGGCAATGCGTTAATCGCTAAGCAAATCGAAGATAATATCACAAGAACCAGTTTTTCATAATAATTAAGAAGTCTATAATGTCATTTTAAACCTACCCAACCGGATACAATGTGATATAAAATTTCTAGTCGTAAATCGAACATGCCCGCGTTATATCATGGAACAAAGTTTAAAAAACTAGTTTTAGTACTTGCTTCAAATTTGTTTAAGTGAAATCGAATTGAATATTCATTTATTTTAATTAACAGAAAATGAAATCGATTGTCATGCACATAACGTGATAATCTAAAAATAATTTTCAGACACAATTTTTATAGTATATTTATTATACACGCCAATAACTGAATTCCCTGCCAGGTCATAACCTATTACAATTAGAACTATTTATTTGTAAATGAGTAGTAAGTAATAAACGTTTAAATGTTTCAATATTAATCGTTTATGATTTTACTACCGCCCGTTCAGCTTGGCGGGGGATATATTAAATTCATAACGGACACTTTAATAGGTTATTTGGTGTATAGTCACGAATGCCTGAAAGATACACTTGTCTAAATCTATCGGTCATCGCTTCAGCCTAGTTTAGGTGGACCGATTTTGCGAGAAAACTAGTTTAAATTGCTTAAACAATTAATACAGTTATTAATTCTAATGAAATTTAACAAAGCACTTAGCATAGATTAATATATTGTGTTGCTATCAAAACCCCATAAAATCGGCATTAAAATCCGATGAGAAATCTGGGGAGGGAAGAGTTGGAATAATAATAAAAAATGGAGTGATTAAGCGGGACGAGGCAAGGGGGAATAATGCCTAACGGTGTTAAGGATATTAATCAATAAGTGAGGAAATACGGATAATGAGGGATGAGATAATGATAAGAATGGTAATTGGTAACGTAAAATAAGGGAAATTAAAAACGATTTTTAACGATAGCAAACTATTAAAAGAAAGATAGTGATTGATACTGGATAGGTAATGACTCACTGGAAAATATTATGTTCTATTTTATTGTTTAAGAAGCAGCATTCTGTTTAGGTTGAATTGTTTTTTTGACAATACATTCCCCGGTTTTATTAGTGTAATAATTATTTTAAATAATATTAATGTATACAGGTAATAATAACTAATTTTGCAAACAACTAATTACTTAAACTCAAATAAATCGGGTTGTCAACTGCAAACTTAGAAAATGTTCAATGATAAATATCAACAAAGAGATTAAATATCCGATAAATAATAGCAAAAGAGCTGGGATTATGTCACTGAATTTTATACCGACAAATGATTCTTTGGATTTCCATTTGCTGTAAACGCAAATAGGTTTGCTACTACGCCACCGTTTTAGCTCTCTATTGATGAAGCCAGTTTCTAACAGTTTAATATACCTGTGAAAATAATGAAAATGTATTATTTTTCTTAACTCGTTTGAAATAATAATAATAATAATAATATGTTATCGAGCATCGACTTTACCCGTAAGAAAACAACTTTTTGTACGGTGATTTCTTTTGCAACATAACACTACATCGGTTCGGTTTTGTTATGCTGATTTCCGCCAAATCACATTTTTCGCTCTCGGTAAATAGTTTGCTTATAAACCAATAACTGGTGGCCGTGTCGGTGAAAAACGCATAATTTCCTTTCATTACTTTCTCAACGCCTTCGGCATTTAACACGAATTCGGCTTTTTGGCCATGCGAATTACGCCGACAATCTAAAATCTCTTTCATCAACGGATTGACCTCGGCAATTTCCTGCAAAAACAAATGCACGATCATTTTATGTGATAACACAATATCAGACGAGGAATGTATAATTATAATACATTGGCCAGAATACGCAAATAAACGCTGTCCTCGATTCCCACTTTCATACGGCTTTTGACTATTTTTTCTAAAGAATCAATTTTTTTCACAGAAGGACGGAGCAAGCTAACCACGCTACTGGATGAGTAAAATTGGTACACAAATATACCAACAACAAACACTAAAATGAAAATCACTCGCCCGGCTGGTTTTACCGGCTGCACGTGAATTCCTGAAAAATGTACATTTTTTTAGTTTACAGTAAAGCATTGTCAGCTCAACAATGCAATTAAGGAATGCGGGAATTTGTGCGGTTCTTAGAGTTTTCGCCACAAAAAACAAGAAAATTTTTGGAATTTTCGTTGAGCTCTTATTACTTTGTTTTGTTGGAAAACGATTTTTCATTTGTTTTTTTTTATAAAAGAATGATGTTTTGATATTAAACAATTTGATAGCACGGTAATTGGAAAATAAACATCAAAATATAAATTATGACAACTTTTGTTACAAACATTAAAAAAAACATTAAGATTTTTATCTTCAAAGGCACTATGCTTTACTGAATTTATAATAACTGTAGGTGGAATACTTAACACGTTGACCGCCATGAGATCTAATATGAGATATCACAAAACTTTGTCCTGGCCGCCAAGGGGTTTTTTTCGAAGTTTACTCAAAAAATTGTTGAACATTTTTTTTCTCAGATTTTATTCAAAATTTGTAAACATTAATAAAAAGTTGTTTCTAACACGTTTTTTATAGTTTCAAGTCAATTAGAGCTGAGATTTCGAATTCGATCTTGTGGCCGTAGGATGTAACTCACTGAAAAATTATTAATATTACCCTTACCGCGAGATCTTCAAATAAATATCATACCAATTATTACCATTTTATGAGATCTCAGATTAAATATCAAAACATTTTTATTTTAAAAACTAACCTCTTTATCATTGTAGTAAAACATATACTATACTAAAAAAGTCGACATATTATTATTATTATCTCCCCAGTTGGGGATCATCTGTATCATCGTACGATGAGTAATCAAAGGATGAATTTAACATGTCATTAATACGGTCAGTGTCCATTATTAATTATTAAAAACTTAATATTATAATAATAATATTAAATAATATATATTATGTTGAAACATAGTACATTTAAAAAAATATGCACATGGTATCAATGATAAGATAGAAAACATACATTTCAAAAAATCATAGAAAAAAAACTGATAACGCTAGACGCTTGCTAAAAAGACCCAATGAAAGTGGCAACACTGTACTTTTCAAATAAAATGTTAAAATACTGATAATTGAGACCAGAAACGAAATATCACCAATTGAAAATAATTGGTAATGAGATCTCTTAATAAATCTCACGACACATTTTTTGGAAAAAGTTGAGATTTCGAATTATATCTCATGGCCGTTACAAGTAACACAGTGAAAAACCCCGTGGCGGTCAACGTGTTAAATAAGTTGAATGATTTAAAATTTAATTTTCTTAACAATAAAATGTGAAAGAATAGGAACGAGACGAATTTCAAGAGAAAAATATAAAAGGCAGGGTATATAAAAGAAGGATTGCTTTATAAAAGATGTTGTTTAAAAGTCGTTTTATGTTATACGAGTCTGTTACTCCGGAAGTCCATTAGTGACCTTTGTATTTTCACGTTCGACGCCTTTTATAGAATCCAACCCCACCGAAACACTCATTATTATTAAATAATGATATAATAATTGATTTCCTAAACAAAAAAAGTCATCCGTGCTGTTAAGTTGTCTAACCACAGCCCCGTATTCAGTAATACATATTCCATTAGTTATAATATTAAAAGTAAATTCAATATTATGCATTTAATATTAATTACACTTCTTGAAAATGCGATTTTTAAGCATTAAATAGATAATAATATATATTCATTTTGTTTTAGTCATTTATGCGCAATACATCAAAATGTACACAATTCAATAAATTTCAATCACTGAAAAAAAGAAAATTTAATATTTCCTTACAATTTTTTTTTTAAATTAATTGTCATTTAAAAATAGTATTATATTTTGTACTCTACGGCAACAAAAAAAAAATACAATAGAAAGGAAATTTACCTAAAAAGATCATTGCTAATTAAAAATAAATAATTTTAAAATTCATGGAATAAGAACAAAATTCTGCAAAATGTTCTTTTGAATTAAAAAAAAAATATATTTTTTTAAACTAGTTTCTTCTACCTTCGATGGATTATATTGGAAAATTGACGTTTTTGTATAATGAAGATAACATACCTTGTTGACAATAAGCGCCAATATTTGTGAGCAGCACGTTAAACAATGAATCTAATTTCAAAGATGTTGAAGAATATTCATAGTGGATAATAACGTAACATGTCAACACAATCAACACAAAAACAGCAGTCAGACAGCACCAAACTTTGTATGAAAACGGTCTAAGAAGTGTAGGCCTGCTTTCGTTGACTAACGGATGACGAAATATAAAATGAGGCCTGAAAAATAAATATTATGTTTTCAAAATGCAGTTACTAATTATTATGGGTTACTTTTTATTAATAACTGATAAAGAATGATTTTAATAATAATCTACTTTATAATGGTTGCTGTAAAAAAAAAATTATTAGTTGCAAATCTATTTCATTGCAGTAAATTAATTGTTAAGATGAGGTATATTAAGTGTTCGAAAATATGTTCTATGGATAGTAGACACTCTTAGAGGATTAGTCATATTTATGTGAAATACATTTAATTATGTGCGGCCAGAGTAAATGAGAATACCGCAGAGCTATTTAATTTAATTCTATTACATAGCATGGTATTATCTTGCATTAGAACTTGCCTATGCCGCCAAATGGTTACGGATGCATAGTCGATGACATCAAGCCTCTCGTTTGTATAGGCAGCTACGCCAGACACATCAGCTTTACCGGCGATCAAAGCTTCAATCATTCCATCCCAGGATCCATTGGTCTTAAAGCCCCACGAGTTCGACGATTTCAAATTAATCCTAAAGCAATACCCAACCCGCGGTTACATTTAATCACACCGATTATCATGTTATTGTGCATTTTTAGTTACGAGAAATTAAACATTTTTGCCAACGGTTCGAATGTCGCATAACTGAATCTAGATACAGAATCCAAGTTAAACACCCCATAAGATTTTAAATAATTAACTAGTTCACGACCGCTTAACCGCCGCTCGCTGGTGTTTAGCCCGGCGCTGCCATAAGGGTTGGCCTGGAACAATATTAGGATATGTCTACACAGTTCGTACTGATTATGCATTTAAAACTATAAATATAATAATATTATATACCACATTGATAACATTTAATGTTAAATTATGCAAGTCCGTTCTTTTGTCGTACTTCCAAGAACGCATACCCCACTTTCCGTACAGAGTTTCATTGACAATGCCGACGATTAAACGACCTCTTGGTGAAGGGGCAGTACGATAAATGTCATACAGTTGCCACTTGTCGGTTTCCGAGTGAGCGTAAAAGACTTCACTATTTAAATTCAGACTTATGTTTTTGATTTTCACAAACCGTTCTATTTCGTTTATACCACGATGTTGATTAATCATTAGCCAATGATAACTGGAATTCCAGAGGTCACTATCGGCAAACTATATTACAATGTACACACATTTTTTAATTAGTCAAACACATTCATATACTATGAATGAATTTTCAGTTCCGAAAAAAAACATATTTTGGCGATTTTGCTTGTTAACACACAAAATATGGTAAAAATATAAACAATTATAAATTCAATCTATTTTACTAACAAATTATTTAACATAATATTTCTAAACAAAACTATACTTCTTATCCACGTGTAAAAATAACTATCCCGTTGTTTTACTAAAAGAATAAAAGACAAATGCGCGATTTATGACTTACTTTAGTATCGTGACATGACCAATCCATTATTACTCCTAGGCCTGTATAATGTATATGCGTATTTAAAGCATTTTCAAGTACATGTTTATTTTGAAAATCATCTACGTTGCGAAATGAAACCGAAATACTATTTGCATTAAGATCGTTCAATGCTTTGACTCTGTCTAAAATATTAATTCTTAGTAGTTATTGTAGGATAAAAAAATAAAATAAATTTTGAAAAATACTTGAATGGGACCAGCATGATGTGTAGAGGATTGCACTTTTGATTTTTTTATTCAATAAAAATATTTTAATTAGATTACATTTATTTTCCACGTTTTCTTGCGAGTGGACACCGAACGGTTTTAAAGAATACAGTAAAACACAAAGCAATCCAAATAAAATGTTCATCGTTTTATTTTATGCCAAAAACCGATTGACTGTTTACAACACAGTGTAATATTCATGAATATAATATAATTGATAGTATATGTCTACATTAAGTAAAATATCCGTACAAACAAAATAATAATGAATTATTTTACAATATTTAACCTAATTATTACTTTATATGTTATACTTGGTACGTTATTAATATGTTAGATTGACGTAGATTAAACAAAAAAAAATAGCATACATGTATAATATAAATGCTGCGTAGGTACTATTAAATAATATAGACGAATAAAACCTTTAATGACTATCAACTAGAAAATGTATAAATTATTCACTGTTTGACAACAATGACTATAGGTACTTAATAAGTAAATAGGTCACGCAATAATAATGTATCGAAAGTTGATGTCATGCTATAAACAATATATTATTATGGGAAATAGTATCTGTATTCCATGTACCTACGCTAAAAATTATTTTATGTATTTAAAAATATTTTTGTGTGGGATATCCTTAAAAAAAACTGTCTAGTTTTTCTCATTCCATTACAAATTATAATAAAAGATGCATATATTATATTTATCGTGCTTGGTACCAGAAAATTAAGTATTCGACAATTAAACTCAGTAAAGAAACGATGAATCCGATAACTAATACTACTAAAGCTGGAAGTATATCGCCGAGTTTGACACTAGTAAACGCATCGCCGCTTTTCAATTTGTTATACATACAAGTAGGCTTATTGGCGTGCCACCGCCTCAGCTCTCTGTTGACGAAGCCTGTTTCTAAAAGCTTGACATACCTACGACATAAATATTTATTTAACATAAAAATTAATACTACACTAATTGTAAAAAAAAAATATGATAATTTTCAAACACACCCGTATGAAAATAACTTTTTGTATGGTGATCTCTTTCGCAGCATCATGCTTCCGCGACTTGGTTTGGTTAAACTTATTTCCGTCAATTCGCATTTTTCTTTTTCAGAAAACAACTTACCCATGAACCAATAACTAGTGGCCGTATCAGTGAAAAATGCATAGCCGCCTTTTTTTACTTTAGCAACGCCTTCGGCATTCAACACGTATTCGGCTTTCAGTCTTCGAGAATCATTTTTAATGCCTAAAATGTTTTCCATCGTCGGATTAATCATAGAAAGTTCCTAAAATATGTTGTCTTTTATTATACATTATCGGTAAACATACTTATAGGTAGATACTAATAATATTAGAAGTAAAGAGCGGTGAGTACTTTGGTCAATAGTCGTACGTTGACACTGTCTTCGATTCCTATTTTGAAACGGCTATTGGCTAGTTTTTCCAAAGAATCAATATTTTTAACGGGTTGGTGAAGCAAGCTGGCTACAATGCTGGACGAGTAAAATTGGTACAATAACGTTCCAAAAAAGAACACCAAAATAAAAATTACTCTACCGGCTAATTTTGTCGGTTGTACATAAAAACCTAAAAAAATATGTTATTTTAACAACAAGAACTGCCAAGCCATGTAATTTTAATAGGTATATAGTATTTAGGACCATATGTGTTATGTGCGTTAAAAAAAAGCCAAGTAGTAAATATATTTATTGAATTATACAATATATCTGTAAATTATGTTATTGTAAAAACAAAGGAGCTCGAAGATATAAATGTCAAAACTTGAACATATAGGATAATTCTAGAGGTTATTTGCCACCGAAAATTTTAAGCAATGTTATATTTTATGATTTTCTTTCAAGTTGTAACTACCCAACCTAAAAATAGAATATCATTGGTAACTTCGAACTTTTAATTTCAGAATAAACCAGATTTCATCAATGAAAAAAACATAAAAATTAAAACTTTTCTTCAGTAATTTAGAACTAACATTAGTAAAATAATAATACTTAAATTTTTTTTTTTTTTGTTTTTTATTTAGAATTTGTACAATCTGTAATAAATGTAATTACAATAAGAACAAAGGATAAATTACATGGTAGGCAAATATATAATAATATATTGATACAGTAGACTTGTTAGAAGAGGCCAGCCAGAGCTGGTACTTCATGACGTGTGAGATCGTGGATTAGTCAACCATTAGATCGCGACACCACGTTCGCTTTAGGCGCCTTCTGGGGTCACCAGGGATTGTGTGCACGGATAGTTCCGAGATCAGGTGGTTTTTATGGCTAAAGGTTTTGGAGTGTAGGCGTTTGTAGAAGGTTTTGGCAGAGTTAAGGACTGTTGGGATGGAGAGATTTATACTTTAAATAATTTTAAAATAGGCAACTTCCATTTAATAACAAAATCTATGGTGAGCGTAGGAACCGCTGAAAATTTGATGTACAACAATCACTAATAGCCAAAATAACCAAAAATTTGGGGAATTCCTGACCGTGATTTTAATTTTAAAAATGTTATTATAATGAAGATTTTTTAACTGAAAAGGCGATCGTAACCGTAGCTCAATACAGAATTCACTAGGCAATTGTGGCTCTCTCTTATACTTATCTAGGACGAGTTTGAAACTATAAAAAGAATTCTAAACGTTTAAGGAGATTGAAAATGGTCCGATTTTCAGAGTAAAATGTTTTACTAAGTTATTGCATAAATATAACCCCTTAAAAATATGTTTAAACACCTTAAAAGCAGTATTTATTTTTCAGCATGTATTTATGCATAAATTATGCACAATGCTATACTTACAAAGGATCCGCTCGTACACTTACTCTGTTGGCAGTATGCAGCGATATTTATAAGTAATACATTAGCCAAGATTGAGTTGGTTTTCAACTGAGATGAAAAATGTTCATATTTTACGATAAGGTAAAACGTCAGTACAGACAACACTAGCATTCCGACTAGACTACACCAAACGGTAAACGAAAACGGTCTAAGTAGAGTAAGATTGTCTTGGCTTCCTGTAGGATGCAGAAATGTAAAGCAAGGCCTGTATATCATATAAGTATACAAATTAAGATACATTCATTAACAGACACACAACTAGTACAAATCAAAAATATTCACTATACAAGGAACTAATTACTTATGTAGCCAAAGTGTTACAGAGGTATAGTCGATAACGTCAAGCCTATCAGTCTTATAGGCAGCCGTTCCGGAAATATCAGCTCTCCCTTGGACTAAAGCTTTAATCATACCGTCCCAAGAACCATTTAGTTTGTAGCCCCACGAATTTGTAGATCTCAGACGAACTCTAAATTTATAACAAACTATACTTGTATGATGTGCAAGTCTAGTTGAATAATTTTATAGTAGACTGACAGATGTAAATAAATATATTACGAAAAGTTAAATATTTTCATCAAGGGTTCGAATGCTGCATAACTAAACTTGGCCATTGTATCCACATTGTAGACCTCAAACGATTTTAAGTAATTAACTAGTTCACGACCGCTTAACCGCCGTTCGCTGGTGTTTAACCCGGCTCTGCCATAAGGGTTGGCCTGGAACAATATTAGGATATATATATATATATATATATATATATATATATATATTATATTTATATTTATATCTATAAATATATATTAATTATATACCACATTGATAACATTTAATGTTAAATTATGCAAGTCCGTTCTTTTGTCATACTTCCACGAACGCAAACCCCACTTTCCGTACAGAGTTTCATTGACTATGCCGACGATTAAACGACCTCTTGGTGAAAGGGCAGTACGATAAATGTCATACAGTTGCCACTTGTCGGTTTCCCAGTGAGCGTAAAAGACTTCACTATCTAAATTCAGACTTATGTTTTTGATTTTCACAAACCGGTCTATTTCGTTTATACCACGGTGTTGATTAATCATTAGCCAATGATAACTGGAATTCCAGAAGTTGCTGTCCGAAAACTGTAATTAATTTTACATTAAAAAACTATAAAATAAACAACATTTTGTTATTCGTCTGTGTTTCCTTTCAAACGTAAAAAAAAACAAATAATTAGAATATATTTCATATTTTTAACTAAATGCTTCAATTCTAATAGATATTATTAATTACCAAGGACATGAACTTACATGATAAAGTGTATCGTCAAAACAAGACCAATCCAATATTACTCCCAGCACGGTATGGCTCATTGATATACTTAATACGTTTTCTGTGAAGTGGTTATTCTGTAAATCGTCCGCATTGCGAAATAACACGGAAACATTGTTTGCATTTAATACATGCATTGCTTGTATTTTGCCTAGAACATCAATATATTTATATAATAGAATACAATAGTACATATTATAATATTATACACTATAGAATAACAGAAGAAAAATATATATTTAGACATGGTTAAAGAATAAGTGTATTATGTACATGGTTAGGTGTTAATTCGAATAAAATAGTATTCGATTGAAATAATAAATAAAAAAATGATTTGAATTTAAATATTATCTTATTATTGCAACAAATAACGTTGTTCCATTAGTTTTTTATTGTATATTCATTGTATAACTTCCAAGTGGTTTGAAATTAGTGCCATTTACTAAAAGTTCAAAAAAATAAGATTTTATAAAAAAACAAATAAGTTTTGTGTGACTTAGGTTGAAAATTCCGAATATAAAATATGATCTAACTTTTCTGTTGACAGTAACACATGTTTAAATGCGTGTATCGTGTATAAAATAATAAATTTAATAATATATGATACTAATTAGGATAAATAATAATAACAACTTACTTGAACGCGTCCAGCATGGTGTAAATAGGACTGCTGTATTTATTTGTTTATTTGATAAAAACGTTTTTATTAAATACAATTTCTTTTTGCTAATATCTTGCGAATAAATAAGGAAAATATTGAAATAATATATTGCGACCGATATTATTAAATTTGAAATTCTCATAGCGGTACATTTAGATAAACAAATTTGTTATAACTCTTACTTACACACGTGCCAACAGAAATATAAAATTATTACTTTTAATGCACATAAACAGTAACAAATAACTATATTGAATACATTTAACTTGTGTTTAGTAGTTTACACCCGACCAAATACGTTGGTGGTACAATGGTTTTGTCTTAACGCGGCGTTTCGATTTACACGAATGAAAAAAAGCCTATGTTAGTTCACTTGTATTTCTATAATGATAAAATGATAACGATAAAGTGAGACTTTAACAGAATTGTGAATTATTTTTGAAATTTAAAATGCGGTTATCTGGAACATGTACATTAATTTGTTTTAAACACAATAATTTCTAACGTTAAGTAAACATGTCACGCGACACCAATTCATCGAACTCTGGGGTCATTATACCAATTACAATTTGGATACAAACCCAGTTTGGATAATAAAATATTTTTAGTTTATTAGTTGCACGTATAAATTATATGGCTATTTATTTATTTTAAATGCGTAATAACTCCCACGGGGGGAACTGGACATAAAATATGACATACCTATATAATTATGCTTTATGACCTATTATAGATATTTCAGTTTAATAAATCTATAATAGTTCTTCATGTAGAATTTCGAAACAATTATACATGTACACAGTATAATCTTTTACAAACTTTTTGACGAGCTCAGTGTTTACTATAGAAAATAATTCTCAATATATTTAACTTTGTTTGTAATTAAAGTACCGTTTGGTGTTTTAATTGTATAATTCTCTAGTCTGTTTAATTTATCATATTTTTTTCACTGTGGTGGACAATATCTACCCACTACAAAACTGTAGCACAAGGATTAATGATGTTTGGATCCGACAGAAACAAGCAATAAGAGAAGAAAGCTACCTACTATTCTCCGTTGAAAATGTTAACAATATTGTACTCTCGCTTTATTTCTAATGTCAACAATGTTTCATTAGTTATTGCCTTTTCTGTTTTTGCTATACATAGATTTTTTTTATAGAGTTTGGACTTTTTTAACAAACAAATCACTAAGATATTGTAGTAACATAAATCATGTATTCAATTATATTAAATACATTTATATAATTATCATTATTAGATTATCATTTAGTAGCTAAAGTTTTTTTCTAAAACGAAAATATTATTTTCACCAATTGTTTACAACTATCCCAACTGATATCTAATAGTAATTGACGTGCTTTTTATTTTTAGTTTTCAAATGATGCACAATGATTTCCAAAGTAAAAATAATTAACGAAACGATAACACCGAATAATAAGAATGCTAAAATTGATGTTATGTCTTTGAATTCCACGCTGACCAGAGATTCTTCGGTAATTCTTTTCCCTTTGACACAATGCGGCTTCTTGGCGTGCCAGTTTTTCAGTTCCCTGTCGACCAGTCCAGTTTCGAGCAAAACGCTATGTCTGAAATATAATCAAAATCAGATCGGCTCTCTTGTGAGGCATATTAATTAAGGTATCTGGTGTTAAGATTTACGAGTGCGAAATCAGCTTTTTATACGGTGATCGTTTTTGAATGAGAAATCCGGTCACTTCGGGTCTGCTGATAAACAATTCCGACAAATCGCATTTTTCCTTTTCAGTGAAGATATCGTTAATGAAAAAATAACTAACCGCCGGATCGGTAAAAAAAGCATAATTGCCTTTTTTCAATTTTTCCACGCCAGCTTTGGGTGTAATATATTCGTTTGTGGGATTTATCTTTGTGTCGACGATTTTTTTCAAATAAGGATTCTTTTCGCTCTCTGACTGGAAAATAATAAAAAAACGTATGTGCACAAGAAAAATGTTATACTAGTTTAAGTGGCTGGTTTGTAAGGGCGCGTTATGATATATTATGTTCATTTTCACCCGACTGCAGCAGATGAAGTAATGTGTTTAGATGTAATGTATTTGTTTTATTTGTTCCCACTTTGTACTGAATTTACTAAACTGATTTTGTTGAAATTAATTGGAATTAGGGTTTCCTTTATTTTTATAGATTGTCGTTTAAACCGTAACGTATAATAATAATATGCGTTAACGTGCACTAACGTTCATTAATATTTTGAGTATAGACCAGTTCTCGATGCCAAAGTCCATCCCGCTTTCTTCTAATTTTTTCACCGTATCAATATTCTTTGTGGTCGGACGCAGCAGTCCTGATACTATGCTCGACGAGTAAAACTGATAAATTACCATACTGAATATGAACATTAGAAGAATGATTAGCCTGTTGCTGAGCTTCGGCGACTCTACGACTAAACCTGATAAGTATACGAAAAAACGATACTTATAGGTATTTAATAGTAAAACCCCAATTTGTGTTTACCTTGTTGACACAGAGTGGCTACCTTAAGCAGCACAATATCACTCCATATTTTTAGCGTGACTTCAGAATCGTCCGATTGAAAACGATTAATTATGTAGTAGACACCAGCTGAGATGATCATTATGCCGATTATACAAAACCAAACCTGCCGCTCAAACGGTCGCACGAATATGTTTATATTATCGGTGGACCGTGGATGGCGAAATATAAAGCAAGGACTTTAAATCATACAAAATTAATAATTATAAATATGATCAAACCAAAATCGTTATTTCGAAGAAAAAAATAGGATTTTTCTGTTTTTTCCTCCCGTTTAAGTACTAACTCGTGCTTCCAAGTTGACACCGACGAATAATCTGTTACATCTAACCGTTCTGTTCTTATGGCGTTCAGGCAAACCGAAAAATCTGCTTCGCCGCTAAGAAGAGCTCCTACTAGTCCATCCCATTTACCATCAACCATGTAGCCCCACTTATCCGTATGGATTAGATTCATTCTAAAACCGAAATTGCTAATATTATACAATATGTAATTTATCAAAAACAGGCAGCTGAAATAAATATATACGTCATATTCAACAAATTCCTCGTCAAAGGGTACATTATGGCATAACTAAATCTCTGAACTGAATACGATCGATCTGTGCTGTACGTAGTCAAAAAATAAATGAGTTCTTCCTTGGACGGTTGAACTAATGTTGCATTGGTATTGACCTAAAAAAATATCAACGAACGGTGATTGTAATATACACCAAAAAGAGTATTGAATCATTTTATATATTTTTTTAATAACAGTACGTATTATTTAAATAAAAAAATAATCTATGTATATTGTTTGGTTAGGTTAGGTTTGTTCTTAAGGAAAGCCAGATTTACAAACATCTTAAATAAATTTATTATAGTTTTCCTCTACTCGCAGTTACTAGATTGGTAAAAAAACGTTTCCCCATCATAGAGTTAAAAGCGTAATAAAATCTATATAAAGTAGTTATCATTTTAGTGCACAGTAAGCACTAAGCACACTGTCTTAGTTTCGCTAATGTGTATTTTCTGATTTTTCTTTTATTTCCAAGATAGAATGTTTTTTTTTAAACTGCAGTCATTATGGTAAAATAACCTTAAAATATAAAGCCTAGGGGTAATGACAATAAACCTGTGGTACCGAGGTCGGATCAATAATTGGCCATTCGTACTTTTTGCGTTTTTTCTAGTAGTTCTGTCGAATTTCCTATTTCTGATTGGTCTAAGACAGCTTGGGCCGAGCATTAGGAATCAAAAAAGAAAACAAATAGAAGTTCCCTGGGAATACCTTAGCGCTAATTTGACACTCTGGAGAAATTCCAATGAAATGATATGCGCCATTATTAGGGTTAAGTGCACTTGACAGAATACTCAATTTATTTTAATGTATTTGTTATTTTAATTCTAATAAGGTTGGGAACCTTAATTAAATATTCATATATTCTTATTATAGGCTATTATTTAGGTAAATTATTTATTTGAATTACGAAAATGTATTGTCAATATTAGTACATACATTTTTATTTTTTACTAACAACTATATCAATTTTAAACTACTATAAGACTATTTAGTTGTCTTTATTGGACATAACTTACTAATGTGATAGCATTTAGTGTTAAATTTTTCAGATCCGATCTCTTATCGTATTTCCATGACCGACGTCCCCATTTTCCAGCGATCCTATTCAGTTCATCGATCACGAGTTGGCCTCTGGGTTCGTAAGCTGTCCGATAGATATCGTATAGCCGCCATTTATAACCGTCCTTATCAAATGTCCGTTCGATTGGATATGCCAAAATCACTTCACTGTATACCGTTAGACTAATGTTGTGGTGACTTAGAAAATATTCAATACCATCGTTCGCATTTAGATCCATTAACATCAGCCAGTGATAACTTGAATTCCAATAGTGTCTCTCTACAAACTTGATATATATTATATATGTTTCCCTATTACTATTTCATTGTGCTGACATTGGTATGTGTAGTTTAAAGGTTAACCTGTAATTGATTATACCCTACAAAATTGGGAACTAGTACATATAGAGGAGTATATGTTTAATACTTTAATGTATGAAGTTTTGCTAACTTAACATCATCAACATGTTTTTTATAATTACTAAAAAAGTATAATATATTTTCATTAACTCTTTGTATAGTACTAGTTCGTAAGGTATTAATTGAATTAAAAATATACCTCGAATGACGCGTTCTTCAAACAATTCCAATCAATCACAACTCCTAATATGGGAGACGATATTGAGATTGATAATACATTATTCAAATTATCTCTTTCTTCATATGAAAAGTTTACCAAGTCTGCTGGAGCATGAAATGATATTGCGACATAGTGTAGTCTGTTTAAATTGTTCATTACCTGTAGCCTGTCTGGTGAAATGTACAGGTTAATGGTTAAAATCCACGAATATGCGATTTTATACATAATCTATAAGGATTTACTTGATTCCGTCCAACAAGTGAAAAACACAGCTGTATTTAGTGATTTCTTAATTAAAAACTCTTCGATCAGCTCATATTGAGTATTGAAATCTGTTAATGCCAAACAATTAGAAGAGAATACTAAAAACAAGCATACGAACCACATGTTTAGAGGATAAAGTGTATTAGACTATTGAAAGGGTTTCAGATTATATCATGACATATTTGTACTTATGCACGAATTAATATAAATAATAAACAAAGAGAATTAATTCTGACATTTTTTTTTAACGACCAATTGTCTTTCAACATTGATAATTTTGACATGGGTACAAATAAAAATAACACATGCACATATGTAAGGGACGATTATTACTTGGGCCAAAGTATTATTAAATAACTTATAATCTTTTTACTTGTACTGGTAAAAATTCTAATAAATATCCAACAAATGTAATTTGGTCAAATTGAATAATAATTTATTATACAAAAGATCAAAGGATCAACTATATTATGTAGTTCGTGACTAATTTTATCATTTTGATTGACAATATATTGTCAAAATATATAGACAGTATTTCATAAAGGGTTAGGTTAGGTTTTACATAAAATGTTCAAACTTGGTTTTCCATAAAAACGCTTAAAAAAAACAAAAAAAGAGGTGAAATTTTATAGAAAAGTTGAAAAACGGGAACGCCAGACGACGAAGATTTTACCGCGAAACTTATCGCTATTAGATTTATCCATAGTTGTGACTACTCTTAAAGAGATATTGCGGAAAACGATATAAACAAACTCAGCTAACTTAAAAGGAGTAATTTGAAATAACGCTAATTAGACAAAAAACTATTACATACATTTCACGATAAAATGTGTTCTTTGTCATACACAAATTTAAAAGGATTAAATATAAAACGATTACGGTAAACCTTCGCGGTTGTTGGTTATTAAATTAAATTTATAACATTATACAATCTGTAAAACGGTAACCAGAAGCATAGTATCTATATTAATATCTTTGCGTTTGAACTTAATTCGCCCGGCGGAAGAAAAACAAATAAAATACACATTCTACCTACTTTGAAATGTTACTTTTTAATTAAGGTTTTTTAAACTGCCCGAATAAGTATTTACACGGATTACTTTAAATTAAATTCGTTAAAGTCCTGGGATGCTGCTATAATTATCATACTAATTTGGTTTTAAAAAAAACAATTCATTTTGAATTTAACATCTCTTTTGAATTTGTTTAATAAGAATAGTTTTTATCATAGCCCGGATCCGTTGACTTTTTGCACGGTTTTGAAATTTAAAAATCTAATTCTCGAGGATAATATTTTTAATTGACTATATTAAATCGGGTGATTTTAAAATAAATTATAGGTATATAAAGGCCCGGTTCAACAATATGCCTAGATTGAGTAAATTGATTTTAGGTTTTACCCAGTCGGTTTAACAAAAAAATAGCTTCTAGCTATCAAAGCTAAAATGTAGAAGTTATTTATAATAGAAAATTAATTTTCCTAAAACATTTCTTTTATGTACATTTACAACATCTATATTGTTCAATATGTTAATTCTTAAGTCATAACGATGAGTATCCTATTCCTATATTTATCAAACGAAGAATTTGTTTTCAAATAAACGACAAAATTGAACATTTATAAACAATTATTTACAAGTCATTTGTATCATCATTGCACGAGACTATTAATAATAAATAAGAACTGTCGAGCCTTCACGTCGTATAGATTTAAACCATTTAGCACCATCATCAAAATCAATATTTTATGACACAACGTCATTAATAACTGAAGGATAAAAAGTGTAAAAAAATTATTTTCTCGGGACATACCCTGAGCTACCAAAATAATACACATACTAAGAAATTCAGTGTATGTATACTCTTAAAATACACTTTCAAGTTTCAAAAATAATTAATAAATAAAAAGGTAAAATAGTCCAAGTATATTCTCAATACGTTACATAAATGAACTCAACAAAACCTTCGTTACAGGTATCTACATTTCATTTCAAACATTACAAGTAATAGGTATATTTTATACTCCATAGTATGTTATTGACTATTAATTAGAAAATGTTAAAAGTGTTAAAAAAAACAAATCATTAAATTACAAAAATTAAATTGAAAATGTATTATTAAATTATATTAATATTTGTATACACTATATTCATAACCTGATGATCAATTTTTAAGTCATCTTTGAACATGTCTGTTAAGAGGAACGAAAAGAGCTAATTTATGTGGGGCAAACTAAGCAATATTTTACATAATCTAATCTAAGCGCCATTTAAATACGCCAAATAATTTAAACGGAAACGAATACCATATTTTTTTAGCTACAAAAATGTCAAAGTTATTTTTTTTTCAAATGTCAAGTTTCTTTGCAGACAATTTGGCTCTTTTCATTTTCCTTTAACGTCTAGTAACACATGTTAGGTTATAACCATCAGTTACGAGTTTTGAATCGGTGTACAATAATTTCTATTATAAAAATCACGATGGCTAAGACTATGCCACAAAACAATAACGTTAGAACGGGTAGTACGTCGTGCAGCGAAACGTCTGCCCCGGCCGTTTGGTCGGTTTGCGATTTTCCATCGTTGCACTTGGGTCTTTTGGCTCTCCATTTTTGGGTTTCCCGGTGAATGATGCCCGTTTCCAGTAAAACAACATTGCTGTAACATAATGTAATACGCTATTAATGCATTTCGTGCGAACAAAAGACTCTTCGAAGCGGTTTGCATAACAGGTTACCCGTAAGAAAAAAGTTTTTTGTACGGAGATCGCTTCCTCAACATTTGGCTGCCTATCTCTCTGGCGGTCGCTATTTCAGTTAGATCACATTTCTCCTCTTCGGTGAACAAACTATTTATCAACCAATACGTGGACGCGGGATCCGTGAAAAAAGCGTATCTTTCCTTTTGCATCTTCCGAACACCTTCCGCCGGCAAAACATACTCGGGTGCTCTACCCGGGCGATGAATCTTTTCGTTTATGATCTTTTGCACCATCGTGTTGTTCGCGGCAGCTTTCTTTAACACACAAGGAGAACCGTGAATTTACATTGCCAAAAATAATGACAATTATGGAAGTTATATCAATTTTTAAGAAACGACGACAACGCTTGGAGATTTTAAGAATCAATGATTTCGTTGACTTTTGTCAAAAGTCTTATATTATTTGAATACATACGGTTATTCGGTTTACTTCCACTATTAGAATATATTGTATTTATTTCATAATTGTCAACATTTCCGGTAACTGTTATAATGATAGTACGTATATTAATTGTAGACAAGTAAGTAATACCTCAATAAGGGCTCGGAGGTTGGCCATGTCTTCTACGCCTGCGTCCAGCCCGCTGTTGGCCAATTTCTCGATGGTGTTTATGCTCTTGACAGGAGTAACCAATAAGCTGGCCACGATACTAGACGAATAGAATTGGTACAATATCGTCGAGAATAGAAACATCATGACAAAGATCAGCCTTCCAGAGAATTTTTTAGGCTGCTCGCTCGAGCCTAAAAAAACGACCAAGGTTGTTAATTTGGCAATAGTCAAACATAAATTAAATTATAAATAGTCTCTAAAATTTACGCAGGTTTTTAAATAATTGTAACTAAAAAAGTGTAATATAAAATCTAGATTATATTAAATTATTCAAAATATGTTTTTTTTTTATAATTTTATGACCAGTTTTGAATCTTTATAGCCAGTGTATTTATATGGGTTTTATATGTGATATTCATCTAACCCTGCTGACAAGTAGCGCCGATACTGATGAGGACAGCCGTCGTCAAAGAGTTAATGTTCGAAGATATAATGTTGTTTTCAGAACGCACTATGGCATAAAACGTCATGGTTATCGCTAATGAAATGGCCACACAGCTGAACCAAACGTAAGTGTCGAACGGCTTAAAAAACACATTGGATATGCCAGAACGAGGGTGCCGAAATATAAACCCTGGGCTGATGAAAATAAATAATTAATTTTCCTGTATATTATAACATATATATCGTAATATTGTTTTAATTGTAAAACTAAACTACACTTACTAGAATTCATAAGATGCTACCGAACAATAGTCGACTACTTTCAATCTTTCTGCTCGCATCGCAGCAATAGCAGTCAAGTCGGTTTTACCGGTCAACAATGTTTCGACAAGACCATTCCATCTGCCGTTGATAACTTCGCCCCAAGAATTAGTCACAGTAATAGTCGTTCTAGAACAAAACCAAAATTAATTATCGTTTGCTTTGTATACTTATAAGTTGTATCGGAAAACTCTTATTTTTATAAGGATAAATGATTAAACTTAATTATTAAAAAAGTTCAAGCATGCCGTGTTTTTAAAAATACTGTAATTTTTTAGGGTATTTTTTGTAATATCTTATTATCACTTATATCATACATTTATTTATCATTATATTTTCTCTATTTTGAAGTGGAAGAGGTGAAACTTCTTGAACTTTTGAAGTGTAGTAAAATAAATAAAAAAATCAAGCAGATGATCGATTTAATCATTGATTAAGAATTCTTAATCTATGATTTTATGTAGGACATTCATTTCCTTGGAAAAAAATAATAAAGTTTTACTTTTTGAAACATTTTTATTTATTTTATTAGAAAAATACAATTTTCAAATATTTACAATTTTATACGTTTTTTTTTTAATTTTATAGGGTAAAGAGGAAACTTTTTTCTTTTTAGGTTCATTTGATCCATTGGTTTAAAAAATATCGTAGTTATTGGTAAAATTCAAAAAGTAATACGCATAATTGTAAAAACAATAACTTTACAGCTTAGCATCAAAGCCAAAATAATAGGAAATAGCGCAAAACTCTGGCCATAAATGTAATAAATATAGTATAAATATTGGCCTAATGGGCCATTCTAAGCGTATCTATAGGTTATATTTTATACTTGACTTAATGTACTTTAGGCTATACATTTATATATATATGATTATGTCTTACTGTAAGTTTCAGATAGAAGAACCCTTCTTGTTATTTATCTACACATTATTATATCGGACGCTAAAGATAACAATATTCTTGATTCTTGGTCCATACAATTATACAATATGAACAAACTAAAAAATCTTTTTTTTTTTTAAAGTTACGATAAAAATATTTCTAGGAAAAACTCTTCGCCTTTGTCTTTTGTTGAATGCAATTTTGCTTTTTCTAGTGGTTAAAAAGTAAAAATGTTCTCATTTTTCAATTAGAAATGTTTAACTGACAAAAATTAATTTGAGAAAAGTCTTTAAGTTTCCTTAGATATAAGATGTAAATATTATATAATTATATTATAAGAATAGCTTGTTTGAGTGAAAAGTCTACTGCAGTATAGTTCCTCTTCACTTTTTCCCCATTTACTTTTTACACAATCCTAAAGCATACATTTAATACATTGGATTTTCGTTTTAAGGTAAAATGATAATTTTACCGGAAGTTAAACATAGTCAGTAGTGGTTCAAAGATTGCATACGAGTATCTTGGGATTGTATCCAGTTGATTTAAATCATACGTTTTTAAGTGTTTTATTATTTCCTTGGTGTCAGATTTATTGTTTATACTACGAAGATTGACCTAAAAACAAAACATTTTTGTAATTAACGAGTTTTATAATTATTCAAAAATGGTTCACGTGCCACAAACGCTGCGTGTAAGGTCAAATTATGCAAATTTGTTCTGCGGTCATATTTCCACAAATGGTTAACCCATCGTCCATAAGATGTCCCATTCAAGACGTCGACGATCAACGTTCCTCTAGGCTCGGCAGCAGTCCGGTAAACGTCATAAAACGTTTTTGGCTCACTAGGGGAAACCAACATCAGTTCACTATCAAAGTTTAAACCAAAATTCACCATTTTCACGAAACTAGCCACTTCTTGATCGTTATAATCGTTCATGATCACAAGCCAATGATAACTTGAATTCCACAACGCGTTGGCTGCAAACTAAGAATTCAAGAAAAATCAACCTGTTTTACTAATCTGTTCAGGGTTGGCCCTCATTCGGATACAATTATTGTATCTATTTAATAAATTAGTGATATTTTATATTTTATTATTAGAATATTCATTTTTTCAATATTATATTTTTTAGTTCGATAAATGCTGAAGTTCTTGCATAGGATATAGAACATAATTCTTTTTCAATGTTCCTCATCATTCTTATTGAATTTGTATTCGTCCTTGGACCGTAATTACACCTTTCAATTACTATTTAATGTCTAATACTTATTAATATTTATTATTAATTATTTTGTAAATGTTATATTATGTTTTTTTTTGTTGCTACTTGATTAATACCATACGAATAAATACATAAAAAATGTATTCGTAAATAATAATAGAATATTATTTGAATGACGAATATAGTGTATTAATATCGGTTAACATACATTTTTTATTCCTATACCCAACGCTGCGTAATTGTATTTATGATATATTCAAAGGATTATACAAACTTGATAAGAGTAATAATCATTTGAAAAACACGACCATTCCATGATTATTCCCAGCTTATTTGAATTATATGGCAAGCTTAACACGTTTGTCAACGCCGAATGGTCTTTGAAGTCGTTAGTGCCACGAAATGATAATGAAATGTTATCTGAATTTAATTTCTTCATGGCATGCGTTTTATCTGGTGTGTTAAGAATTTTTTTTTAAAGATTGGTAAAACATTAGAATACAAATACTATACAAATACGATAAATATTGATGATAAATACTTGAATGAGCCCAACAAACGTAGAGAACTGCCACGTCGATTTTTTTGTTTTTTAAAAAATTTTCAATTATACTAAAATGTGTGTAGAAATCCGCTAACGAGCTTTTTGTACACAAAAAAATAATAACATATGATAAATGTAAAAACTTCATTATAACTAAGCGGAAATTGTCTTAAATTAATTAATGAATTTTTGATCGACTAGAAAATCAAAATAATTAACAAAACATTGTTCAGATATAAAATTGAAATAGTTTCTGGCTTGTTTGGGCAAATGAAACTAAAATTACACTAGTTTTGGCGTTCACATACTCGCATGTCCACCAGCACTATTATTATGTGCTAGTAGTTACTAGTTAATCGGTGTTGAATAAAAAATAATTATAGCTGTAGTAAATATATTAGTTTATATTCGATGTAAAGACAATTATTATTCATGTTTGTAATAATGAGGATGTTTAACTGACACGAAACTTCCCTGTGTTTAAAGAGAAAATAATTATTATCTACAGCGCTTAAGTATTAACATTTTCCACAGCTATTAATCCTAAACTGCGATAGTTTTTGTCACTGTCTTTGTCATAAAAATTATTGCTTTTATAACGTTTTCCTATTTGTATAATATAACTTCAAATATTTTGTATTCCTCTACGAGTTATGCGGTTTAATAATGTATTGTACGGCAACCGTTGAGTGTTGTCTTAACTGTTTAGATAAACAATTAATACACATTATGAATGAGTGTCGATAAAGAAAAAAAACCGTGAGATATGTACTATTTTAAATATACCTACCAACCTACTTGTATTAAAGGAAAATTATTGAGAATGAGATATTGTCCAAGATGGTTAACAATTTTAAGCAATAGGAAAAAAAGGAAGTAATAATAATAGTATATTTAACGCCCCTAAGGCAAGAGTGCAACATACATAATAAATTATAAATTATGAATTGTAAAGAACAGAACACAGTTTTTTACATTGAATGTTACTAAACTAAACATATAAAGATAACATTAATTAAATAACATTTTTCGAGGTAACCGTACCAGTGTAAGCTTTATTTACAGCTATGGTATATTTTATAAAATATATAATATGTAAATTTAAAATATATACATAGACCAGGAATGAGTTAAACTTTAAAGCGACCAATCTTATCTAAAAAACAAAATTAAACAATAAAATATATTTCCTTTATACCTGACTTAGTTTCTAGTATTTAAAGCCTTTGTTATTTATTTGGACGACTGTGTTGTAGTGTCAAATGTAACGTACGATGAGACCATCAAATTCTATTGTTATTTTGTTAATACTATTTTTGAATAATGTATTAAATCATTAAACAAATACTTCCAGTTCGACAGTATTAAATACATTGTCCTACAATTAGAGTTGGCTAATTAATAGCTTTATTTACTGTTCGGTTCACATTGGTCATTATCCTAAGCAATGTGGCAAGAATGCTAATTGTTTTGATGTGACGTTGACAAATAAATACTCCTAAATCCAACAGTAGTGTCTATCAATAAATTAACAATAAATTCAAATCCTTGGTCTGACACAGATTGTTTTTGTAATTCTTTAAATGTCTATTGTAATTTGCTTAGTATCAATTCTAATAGTTTGTATACAAATGACAGCACTTCTTTTTTTTTTTGATGGGAGAACTAGTTTTAAAGGACTTATAGATAGTATTTATTGTATAACAGTCGACAGTTTGCAAGCGCACCGACTCATAATAAAAAAATTAAATTGTGGTGTAAAAGGGGAATACCCCTGGTACTTCCTCAAACTGTAGCACTGAAGACCCAGGAAATTTTTTTGCAAGAACCATTAAATATTTTTTATTTGAATTGAATTTTTTTGATCATCATACTTATACACATTTTTTTATCGTTTTGTCTAAACATATGAGTTATGAAACGGATATTTCTTGTATTTAATAATAATTGTTTTATTGATTATATTAAATTGTGTTCAATTTTAAAACCTCACGTAGGTGAGGTGTCACTAACCTATGGATACTCTGCATCAAATATTATTACTCAGAAACGACTTATGAAGATAATCTTGGTAAATTGGAAGTTTAATATTACAACGTGACTTCAGGCGTGATGTATGAGTGATTTTTATTAGTAACCAATAATATTAGATTTTTTTTTGTTGTTCATATTTGAATAAAACATTGTATGATTGTGTAGCTTGATCAGTTTTGTATAATAAATGTTTTATTGCACTCTGGTTTTTTTTAAACCCTTTTTAATTTTATTACAAACTAATTAACAGTTAATACACATGATTATTTCAAGTACATACTCGTGATATTAGTAAAAAATGTTTGTTTAAGACCATGTTTTAGGTTCGTTCGTACGATCTACAATTACAGTAATCTATTTACATAATGCGAAAATTATATCACTAAGAACAAAAACTTTACTATACCACTTACAAATACAGACGTATTATATACATACTTGGACGTATTTTAGTTACAATTATAATCCATATTTATATTAGCTTCACGTGAATCCTTAGAAGATTAGATATATATATATATATATATTCCCGTTAAAGTTTAATACGTATAATGTATTGTGCACATGATAGTACCTAGCACACAGAACAAGATATATATATATATATATATATATATATAGATATTTTAAGAATGTAAAAAGAAAAAAATAGTATAGTATAAAGTTGTATAGATTTGAAGTTATAGTTATAAAATTAATGTTTTGTTGTACATCTTTGATACAATACTCCAATATTTGAAATTCAGTCATATCCTTTTTCCTAACGGTGATATAGTCCAAAAAATCATGTATTCCATTTGATTTAAAAGTAATTAGCATTGTATTACTATATTAACACTAGTCATTATTAGTATGTAATGATACAATTAGTAAGCTAACATAGATATATATAATTATTATTTTTATTACAATTTTAATATAATTCTCAATCCTTTAATTTGTGAATAAAGTTATTGTAATTAGATTTTTTTTTTATTTTACAAAAAACAATCTGTACAAAAATATGTACAATTAGTTTTTTTTCTAAATTATATTTTAAAGCTTGAATATCTTGAAAAGAAAGCCATCCATTGGTAACACCTGTTTTTAGATTTGAAGTTAAAAAAGTTCACTCATTCATTCTTAAAATCGGGAAAAACAGAAAAATAAAACGATTTTTATACTTAAATTATTAACTTGCTATAATTTCGAGAAAAATCCTCGGATCTAGTTAAAATTTATAAGAAATATTTATTTTTCTACAAAAATAGCCTCAAATCAGAAAGCTCTAACCCCCACACAAGGGGGTGAAAGTTTTTTGGACTTTAGTCAATCAGTGAAAATTAGTGAGCCTATAACTTATTGAAGAATAAAAATAATCGTGCTAACAGATTTTTTGTAATTGCCGGGAACTGTGATTTTTTTTGGCAAATGTTGTGCAAAAAAATGTAAACACGTACTTAATTGTGTAAAATCATTTCAAATATATGTATATATTTATTTAAAAAAATGAGTGGTCTCACAAAGTACACTTAATACGACACACGTTCATTTCCAGCGGGTGATAGTACTAAAAGATTTTTTTCTCTTTCAAACTATTTAATTGCTACTTGAGACCAGGTCGCTTTAAAAAAGTACCTACTTGAGACCAGGTAATTTTAAAAAAATACCTACTTGAGACCAGGTCGTTTAAAAAGAGTACCTACTTGAGACCATGCTAAACTAAAGAGCTCTGGTTTTAATATTACACTCGACATCACACTGAGACCATAATAGCGTTGTTAGTTAAACAAAGACCAGCACAACAGTGTATTATTGTATTTATTAATGTGTACACAGGAGACATATATATTGAATAAAAATCATCATTAAGTCTGTAAGTACTAAATACTATAAATGTATATAATAATTTTTAATACCTAATCAATTATTAAAATATAATTATTTTAAACAATCGAATTTCCACAAACTATGTGAACTACTACAAATATATACTTAACATTTCTTAACTATTTTTCTTTTTACATTAATAACTAATGTTCTACACCATACATCTCAAAAAACGCCCTCTCTCCCACTCTCTACCTGTCTCTATTGTTTTTATATTATACCTACTCACTTTTACGTACTACAGAAAATCTAGGACCATAATATAACTAATTTAAATATATATTCCGTTTATGATAAAAAAAAAAGGGTTTGTGTATCTATTCGATTAATTAATAGTCTAACCTAATAGCAGCTAAGAAAAGGTAGTCAGATCATAAAAAAAATATCTAAAAGACTAAAATAATATCGTTTGATATTTTATGTCATTATCTTTTTATAATGTAAGTGTTTTATTATAAGACTTTAATATGAATCATTAAGTACATAGTTATCTAGAAAGATAAACAGGAACGATTAAGGCAGTGGTATAAAACACAAGGAGTATCGGTTTTTTCAATTAATTATTAAAACACTTGCTAAAGCCTTGTGAATATTTTTTATTCGTGCCAATACAGGTAACTTCAACTAACAATAGTAATTATGGACAGCAAAACAGTGTGCCGACCGGTTTCAGCAATGTACCATCTCTCAGCATTATACGCCCAGGATGATAATCCTTCTAAAGTTGATCTTTTAATTGGTTGTAAGTTATATATTAGTTGTATAAAATAAAACTAATTCTCATTAAGTTTTCTTAGGTTTGGAAAACGTGTATTAACTTATATATCTATAACTTTAAATTTCAAAATAATTTGTATCCATTAAAACATCATATCATACAATTTTCTAACTTCTAAGATCGATTATAAGTAAGATTAAAACTCTACATTTATGGAGGTCGGGTATTTAAAGTTGTTGAATAATTACACTAGGTTAAGTTATTCGTTACCATACGTTATCTAATATTTTTAGAAAAAAGTGTTTCTTCAAAAAATTAGCAGTTAAAGATGAAATTTTAAAAGAAGTAGTTGCGGTAGCTATATAATTACCATTAAACAATTTATTAATCAAAATAGTTTTTCTGCAACGAAAAAAAAAATGTGTGACGAGTTCATTCGTCATCGTATTAATCTTCTATTATTAACTAGTATTTTACTATACTAGCTACCGAATTTTAATAAATTATATGTGATACTTATGTATTGTTTATTTTTTAATTAATTACTGTTATCCTGCACTACAAATCTTTGGCTTAACATATACTTATGGCAACACATTATTGTTATTTTTAGATTACAAAACAGAACAGAGTGATATCTATGCGTTGCCTGTGGTACAAAGAGTAGAAACCTTAGTGACGCAACAGATCAAGAACCATAAATATTTACCACTTTTGGGGTCAGAACATTTTGTTAGAGACGCTTGTCAATTATTGTATGGTCAGGACGTCAAAGAAAGATTGAACAATGGAACAGTAATAACTATATAATTATCAAAATAACTGCATATTTCTATTAGATAGAAAAAAAACAATGATATTAATTCATACATAATAATTCCAACTTGGTTTTTGTAGGTGTTTGGCGTTCAAACCATCGGTTGTACTGGAGGTATGAGAGTCGGCGCCGACCTCTTAGTTTCCCATATGAACTGTACCACTTTTTACGTTTCAGACCCAACCTGGGGTAATTATATTTGAATTGACTACCTACCCTATATTACTGTAATACTGCAAAGTATTGTATTATTTGTGTTATTCGCGAATAAGAGAAACGAATGAAAAGTTTAAATGGTGAAGATGAATGTGTGAAGTAGCTTGGTTAGATAGAATTAAGAGTGAGTATATTACAGGAGGTAGTTTGGGAGTTGTGCTAACATAGTACAAAACAGAAGAAAATAATTAATAGGGATACTGTAGAAACGTTGAAAGAAGGAAAAACATTTTCAGAAATCAAAACAGATTTTATCTAAACGTCTTACTGTTTTTATTTACAGAAAACCACAGATTAATATTTTTAAGCAGTGGTTTTTTGAAAGCGAAAACCTACCGTTATTGGAATGAAGCAAACAAATGTCTAGATTTTGAAGGGCTCTGTGAAGATCTGTCAGACGCTCCTAGCAAATCAGTGATCGTACTTCAAGCATGCGGTCATAATCCCACGAGTCTAGATCCTTCGAAAAAGCAATGGGAACGAATAGCTGATATAATACAGGTGAGTGGAAAGAGATTTACTATTCGACGAAAACATTGAGAGAATCAAGGATTATCAGAAATATAATATGTGAGGTGAAAAGGGACATTTTGTCGCAAAAATAAAATTTTGAGTTACTGGTTATTCTAAATTCAGAACATTTTGAGACCAAAATCGTTCTCCTACCTCGAAAATTAGATTTCACAGTACACTACTAGTAGTAGTAGTAGTAGTACATGGTAGTTTTATGTCCCGCTTAAAAGTAGATTCTATAGCCCAATACTTGCAATTCGTAAATGGTTTAATTGGGCTGCGCCCACGATGTCCCTGCAGGACTGTTATTAAAAATGTGGAAAATAAAATGACAATAGTACAATACAATGTTATTTATTCAATTTAAACTCACATAGAAAAATATGAGAAAAACAAGATGTGCAGTACCGTTATCTCGTGAGACAGAGTTTAATTATATTGTTATAAGTAAGCATCATTTCCAATTATTTTCCAGCAACGCCATCTGATACCGTTCTTCGACATAGCCTACCAAGGTTTCGCAACAGGAAATACTGACAAAGACGCTTGGGTTATCCGGTACTTCGTTAGTCGAGGAATTGAGTTACTCTGTGCTCAGTCCTTTTCTAAAAACTTTGGATTGTACAGTAAGTATAAGAATAAAACTAGCCTGTTCATTTGTTAGCAAATGTTTGTATTTTTGAAGTTGACCATTTTTATGGTAAAAAAATAAAAATGGATGCCTAAAGCAAAAATATGTTTGTCATTGATCAATATTATTATTATTATTAGACGAAAGAGTGGGCAACTTGAGTTTTTCGTTGAACTCTTCTGATTACACGGCGGCCTACAAATCTCAAATTGAATTAAGTATACGATCTTCCTATTCAAGTGCACCTAATCACGGAGCTCTAACCGTCCATACGATAATGAATGACAACGGACTGCGCGAAGAATGGTACAGTTACACAACATAAAATATTAATAATAATATTATGTTTGTTACAGCGTTATAAGACGTTACAACATTATAGCAGTATTAATTTACAGTTAACACTTACTCACGCAATACAATTATAATTGTTTAAGGTTACTTACTCTGAAGAACATGTACGACCGCGTTAATGGATTAAGACACACCTTAAGGGAATTGTTAGAGAAATCTGATGCACCGGGTTCTTGGAGTCACATTACCGACGGAAAGGGAATGTTCAGTTACTTGGGTATAACAGGTGAATAATGCAGAAAATTATTGAACTAGAGCTTTTGTCAATTTATCACAAACCTTCGACTAATTTCAGAAAATCAAGTAGAACACTTGCGGACTAAGTTTCACGTTTACGTTTCATTAACGGGTCGCATAAACTTGTGCAGTTTGAATGACAACAACATCGGTTATGTGGCCAAATCAATTGCTTCTACGTTGAAAGAGGTCCAGTGATATTTTACATTTCATTTTATTGCAATGAATGTGGTTCAACATCGTTTGAAACAAGCGGATAAGTTAGAAGTCTGATTCGAAAATATCTTATACCTATAATCTACAATGTTATTTTCACGAACATAAATTAAATATACTATTTTTACTAAAACCAGTTTTAATGTTCTTCCTTTATCTAATTTCCTTTCTCTCTTTTTTTTTTTAAAAGAAACAATGAGCTATAGTAAAGTATCATTTGAAAACGGTCTTTAGTCAGAGTAAGCTATTGGTTTTTCTTTTACTATCATATGGATCCAAAATAAATAGTTAAGCTCAAACAACTGATGTTTAAGTGAAAATCTATAGAATGTAAAAATAAAAAATAAAATATTTATTTAACGTTTAACCAGAAAATCTGCACGAGAAATGTTTTTGGAAAAATTATGTGATGCGTTATTAATAACCAACACGTGATAACATTACATTATTGTGTTATTACATAATCACTCAAGCAACTTGTAAAAGTACATTTTTTTTTACAATAAAAAACGTGCATGTGTTAATATCCTTAAGAGTTTTTTTATGTTTTCCATCATACTCACCACGTTATACACCTTACACATGTTAAAATAATGTAGGATTATGAGAAAGACTAAAAGAGTCATTGTTTGATAATAATGTTGTATTGGCTTTAACTAATTATGAGTACTCTAGCGTGTACTATCCAAACGCTAACTGGTTGTAATTATATCAACAAAATTATATAATACTGGCTGATAACGTAATAATCGAAAAAACAATTGGATCCGTGTATCTATTCAAAACAATTATTATTATTTTAACAAGCCGTTGGAAAATTTTTTTTAGTAATTATAATTTATAATATTTAACTGGTTTTAAAGAAAAATGTCTGGACACCCGAATGAATTACAATGCCAGCAAGAGAACACGGGAAACGCTTTAAAGGGCAACAAATCGAAAGATGACTGCAATCGGCCAAGACCTTTACACGCAGCTGGTCTCGTTAGGCACTCGCAGTGTTGTAGGCCAACAGCGATTTCCCCTGTAGTAGCATGTGAATCGCCGGTAGCCAAAGTTAGTGCCACTGATGATCACTATTGCGACGGAACTACTCAACAATCATTAATTCCGAAACATGTCAAAGTAAGTGTCGACAATTATTGCAAATGTATGCCGTATGTAAAATAATATAATATAGCTGTAAGTTCCTACTACATGCGGATTAATCGATCGAAGCCGAAAATAAGAGTTTTACCAAATGTAGCCAATGTATGCCAACACAGTGCATTTCGTGAACCTTTAAATTTTCTATGAACTTATTATTTTGGCACAAGATGACGCACACAGTATATCGTGTACAAATGATTTTTAAATATTAATATACTTTGGTCAAAATGTGTAGTATGCCGTACAGAAATTATAAAACGTTTTTTTTTTCCGCACAGTTTAAAGTATGTTTTAGTTTACACGTTTACTCGTCTAAGTACTAGTTTTTGCCAAAAACTGATATTGTCCGAAGTAAAAATAGGTTTTTTTTTAATCTCACAATCAGTATCGCCCAGATTGAAAGGGGAACGCTTTTGCTTTGCTTCCCTTCCACAACCCGACATCGTTTATTCACAACAAAAAAAAAAAAGTTTTGAAATCTATACACTGTCACGAGTGCCATGGCTTTTTGGTTACAGATTCAAGAGTGTGCTTGTGTTAAGTTTAACGGCATGCAAGACTTATGTCAGCATCCAGCGTGCCAACAAAGAGTGGGCTGTTTTGATGTTCCATTTCCGAGCTGCCGGCCTGCTTGTGAATGGAAACATCTATATGGAAAAATATCCTACGGCTATCCAAGTACAAACAATTGCTGAGCGCCGACCGATTTTATAAATAAACATTTTTACTGAAAATAAAAACAACTTTTAATTTAATTACAACACAGACATTTATTTAAATACACGCATTGTAAGTGTATTGTCTGTCGAATAATATTAAAGTTTGTCTGATACGTGGGAGAGCCATGAATTTCGACCGGGAAAAAAAACAACTTAAAAAATGATGAAAGGAAATGAGTTTTTAAACTGTATTTAAATTAAATAAGTGTTTACCAAAACCGTAGTACGACTCGATGTACATATAATATATTGCTGCATCCATCCGTACCGTTTGTAAATAATAAAACTGTTAAAACATTATAATACAATTGGATCCAAATCTACAAATAAAAACTGTATGTAGTTACTCGGATTCTGTGTTATATTTTAAATTTAAAGATTAGTATTTTTATTTTATTTTTTAATCTCGTGTCAAGACCAGGCTAATGGTGAAGTGTAACGAGCCAAATAATACCCCATTAAAAGTCAAGTAGGCAAAATTCTTGGAAATATAAAAAAGACATTTTGTGTCAAGACTACCGAGTCAGTGGCAGGCACTCTTGTTGTCCGATCGAGTACCAGATGTTATGAACGCGTACGAAATTACAACAATTACACAAATATTCCATTGTTGGATAACAATCCCATTTAAATTATAAAACCGTCCTATCAAAGCGAGATTACCACATTTTCACCCATTTATTGTTTTAATATTCTCGCAAGAGTATGGTTAGGGATTTCCCGGCTAGAGTGAGACATTTAACATTTTTTTAATAGGATATTTTAAAACTATAGACATTATTTAACACATGAAATGAAGTTACACGACCTTTTATGTATAACCAATATTTATTATTTATAATTATACAATACAATGATGTTAGATAAGTATAACGTCTAAGGTAGAATGCAATTTATTTAGGAACTTAGATATATATAGTTGTTTTGGTCTACAAAATATTCAATTTAGTTTTACAACTAATGTAAACTAGTTGCTTACAATATTAATAACTATGATATTTATACTAATAATGGAAAGAAAAAAATTACGGAATGTAACATTATACTATATTTATAACTGAAAACTTATAAATAATGGTGGTAATCTAAAGACCTATACATTAAAAAGGTATATTTTTTATCCCTCTTCGAGTAAGGTATTTCATAACAATTGTTATTCACACAAATGGGACAGACATCTCGTTGTATAAATAGCTGCCAATTAATTGGCACTCAAAATAATATTATATATACGAAAATTATAAAACAAAGTATAGTAAATACATTTTATAAATCAAATTCTGGAGCTTCGATACAATTAGTATAAAATAAAAATATACTAAACAGATATAAGTACCTTAATTTATTAAGCCATTAAATGTAGATAATTAAATACATACATTAACCGTATTTTTCATTTCAATTAACTCGAACTATTTAGTATAATAATGCCGGTGTGATGAATTAAATACAAACTAAAAACAATAATTTTAATAAATAATTATTCTCACAAATAAATAAATAAATATCTAAAAAATGGAACCAAAAAAAACTGAATTTATTTAGACATTTTATGAATATTTATTTATTTTCGGTATTTTCTTTTTTGTGTTGAGTATTAATTTTTTTTAAAATATGGACTCGCGTATTGTAATGTCTTAATCGATTAAGTATATAATAAAAATAGTCTTGAACTCTATGAAGTTATGTATTAACAAAACAAAATCAAAATATTAAGTGGCCTTAATATTCCAATAACAAAAAAATAATAATAAAAACACAACATAAATCAAATTAATTATTATACAACCGTATGCTATTAACTAATGATATTGCTGGAAGCAAAAACATACACTAATTATTCAGCCATCGGGTAGTTCGGAAAGGTTTTATAGTCTTACAATCATAATAATAAATTATTATAATTTTGTATGAAAGTAAGACGTAATAAAAGCTTCAAAAATAGTCTACACGCTTATAAAATAATAGTTAAATGCCAGCAGCTGGTTCGTACTTACCTAATAGAATATCTAAGTTAACAAACAATCCTATATTGTATTCAAAGAAAACACTGCGAACTTAAAATTATTGTCAGAAATAATTTTGTAGAAATAAAAATATTAAATAATAAGTAAAACCTTACTCTTTGATATCGTATAGTACCGTTGAGTTGTGATTATCTTTGGATTCGTTTTCATCTGACAAAAGCGTCATGTTGGTAACGTTTTCAGTGGAGACCTTGCTACCATTGCCGTTTTGACAACGTGTATAGATCATTGTGGAATCTTCAACGTTGGATTTGCGGTCATTCTTCGATCGCACAGTCAGTTTGTGCCACGTAATGACTCTCAGCGAGGCAATTGATTCTCCGGTTCCCTGACAAAATAAAAAAATAAAAAACCAAGTTGCTACAGTCTTTATACTATATAAATCAAACAGATGTTACTAGTTATTGCATATTCGCATTGCCTTAGTCAAAAACGTCTGCGTGCTTATTACTATTCAGATTTATACATCTTTTTTACTAGTTATATGGGCTGAAATTTACGTGCCGAATATACGAACCCTTAAGTGTACTATTATAGTAGCACAACATAAAAACCCTCTACTAAATTTCGTGTGAAAAAAAAAGGGACAATAAAAAAAACTATTTGTTGGGATAACAAGGTGTATTAGGCTAAGTTATGTAAACCAAAAATATTACCTAATATTATAACTAGTTACTTGACCAGAACATTTTTACAGGGATACAGAACTTTTAGGTTAGATAACTACTAATTTTTGTAATTATTTTTTGTATCACTAAACGTATAATAAATATTTTTTTTTCCTAGAGTTTCTACCGCTCACTACTTTTTCTACTTTTAAGAGTCGCTTCTTTTTTCTACATTGTAAAAATTTGTTATAAATATTTCCTGTATAAAATTGAGGGACGAAGATGAGGGCTTTAACTGTGATATCACTAATTTTTATTTTATATTTTACAAAGTTAAAAAATGTGTATCTAAGCTATTTGTGTTGCCAAGCAAATTCATACTGTCCTTTTTACAGTTTTTTAGGGTTTTTTCTTAATAGTTGTATGTACTTTAGAAAATACTAATTTGCACTTATTATACAATTCAATAAACCGCGCGTAAACGAATAAACTTAATACCTAAACCTTTTAAAAGGTTGTCAATGTCAAGTGTACGCTGCTGTACAAACAGAGATAGGATAGAAAGCGGAGTTAGGGAAAAAGCAGCAGCTTATTATTAACATATATTTTATGAAATTAAAGGTAATAATCTGCACAGTATTTCTGATATTTTGACGCATATTTGATATAAATCGGCTCAGTGATTCGTTAGTTAGAGAACTACGTTGAAAACGACGAAATTTACACGTTTTAAATGGGTACAATTTATCATTCACAATCTCGTTTTTTTTTACTTAGAACGAATTTGTATTTTTATTCATTTCTTAGGTTCATATAAATATTATGAACGCATGTAAGTAACGTATTTGTTTATACTGACGGAATACACTGCAATATTAATGATACAATTTGTTTATACATTTTATATTGTATTGTGCAAATTATACACAATAATTTATAAGTAAAAAAAAGTTTAGTTTTTCAAACGTTTGAATTTTTAGCTTCGACGTTAGCCGTATTAGCTCAAATTTATTTTATTTTTTAGCTATAACACTACAGATCAGCTAATGAGTTGAAAACCAACAAATATATAATTAGCGATTTCTAATAGAACGAATGGACATTCTTTTTTTATTTCGATTTTTTCGGGACAGTTTTTGAAAACAAGATAACAAAAACATTTATATTACCTAAATACTAATTTATTGAAACGTTTTATAATTTTTAAAATCATTATAGGTACAGCCGGGTAACTCTATTGTTTACACTTAAATACGAAATGAAACTTAATAAAAACTCTAAGACATAATAGAATACATGACAACATAAGTAAAAGCCTTCAGTTAATCAAAACTGTATGGTGAATTTTTGGAAGGGAAGTAATCAGTAAATTGGAAAATAAAATATAGGGAGAACGGAATAATCATTTTAAGTATAACAAAAAATGATAGCGGAAAACATCTCTGGTTTGTCCCGAAGAGCTGAACAATTAAAAATAACAGCTGGTAAACCACCACTATTAATCAGTGTTTCTGTTTTTGAAAAATAATGGTATTACTGCATTTTTTTTAATTTTAAGAAATCTTTAATAATGTTAAGTGATTGCAGAAGAAATGTCTGGTAATCGGTGTACCAATTGACAGATCTAATTATGATTTAACAAATATATCTTTGTATGATAATTGTCTACCCTTCTTAAAAAAAAAACTTGGAGACTTGTTCAAGCGTATCGAATAATCAATTTTGAAAATAATCAAGGTCATATTATAACAATATTTATGTAATTATTATACGATTAGCTAACAACTGTCTATGTGCCTACCAATGCGGTAGGTCAGCACTACCGTGTGAAATGTTATACCTGTATACAGACTATAATGTGTGTGACATTTCAGTACTGTTCGACACATATTTGCTTTTAGTATAAATTAATTATACCGACTGAATGATTTATGTATATATATTCGACATGGCCGTTGCAAAATAAGGAACATTCAATACCCTTTCTATGAATGGTGTAAGGTCCTATGTGCATGTATGCACAATATGTTGGCATATAGCTACAATGCGAGAAACATAGATGATATGTTAATTAACCACTGTGCCAGAAAAACAATCACGTTGTCTCTTGAAGATACTTAAACAAACAGCGTCACTTGTAGTTTACATTATATGACTAACATAATAGTATGCCATTTTACACAGCGATTGCACTGATAAAACGTTTCGAAATGTCGACTAAGAATAGCTACAAATTGAAAATGATTGATTAGACATCCGAGTAGTGTCATGCTTTCAACAATTCTAGCAAAAATAATAATATAATAATAGGTTTTATTTTTAAAATTTAACTTTTAAAAAACCCTCTTACTTTCACAATAAAACAAGGTCAATAGGGATGCGAGATTACTGTGGGTTTATTGCAAGTGTAATTCATTACATGAATTACTGTAACCAAATTGAACGAATTATATTTGTCTACGTAAAAAAATCGTGAGTTTTATTAATTTGTGTATTAAGTGAAAAATGTAAAAGTGCTATTGATTGAACCCTTATTGGTCTTACACTGACACTGTGGAAATAAATAATGTTTCAAAAAAAATCTGCACTAAAATATACTTTGCACAACTATAAAAACTGCTCAACAAATTAATCAACGTTTACGGCCATCACGTAAGCGGCACATCAATTTGAAACGACACTGTAAGAGTTATTTATTAAAATTACTTAACACATTATATTACAATGAATGTTAAAAATTATATAAAACATTTTTACTTTTTAAACAATTTGTGAAAACAAATATGAATCGCTTCATGCAAAAAGGGCCTAAGTTACCATTTTATCAAAAACGTGATTATTACAGATTCGTTATCACTCTACTTAGACGCATCGATTCATGTTAAAACGGCATTATTCCCATTACTAGAACCCATTATAAACAAGCATCTTAAATATGACATTTTTGTTAAAAGGGCTTCAGTCACGGACTAAAGCCCGTTTAACATGAAATTAGGCGCCTCGTCCACAGATACTTGTTGGAAAAGAAATAGATCTGCTAAGGAAGCGAGTGTCCAGTGCTTACAATTAAAGGAAAAAAATGGTTTAAATTCAAATTGAATGTCTAGAGGTTAGTTAATTATAAGGCGAGTGTCCGGTTCTGCTTACTAACCGATTAGTGTAAAAAAATGGTTTAAATTAAATTTGAATGTCTAGAGGTTAGTCGGTTAAAAAGCGAGTGTCCGGTGCATTTTTAGATAGCCGCCGAGGTCGCTTCTTATTTTTAACATAGTATGGGGTTTTTGCATTTAGAAGCGGACAGGTCAAGTTAAAATTAATGTTTTTGAGGCTTCAACTGTTTCTAAACGTTGAAATATAAATAAAAACAAAAATAACATAAACTTTAACGAAATAGTAAGTTATAGAGATGTATGAATAAGGTTTTGTTTGTTCAGTGAATAAAGGTATACATCATTATAGTATTAAAACATTATTCAATTCGCATAATATATATTAATTTAAAATTAATATTTTATTTTTATTTTTTGAATTAAGTGTCTATTTTGTTGTTTTTAAGGCTAACAAAATTTGTTTTATGATAAAATTGTCGTTTTTATTATTTTAATGCCATGAACTAAAATGTTTGAAATAAATCAAATACATAAAATTACTGATTTTTGTAAAAAGGGTCTAAGTCCACTTTACTTAAATGCTAATAATCTGGACTGCATTTGAAAATAATAATAATATTGTTTTACAGAATGTAATTTTACTGTTTAATATCTATTAAATTTGATAAAGCCCTAATATATTTATGCATTCTGAAACATATCAAACGTTTTTTTTAATTTTTCCAAAAAATTAAAGTTAAGGACTAAGGCCCTTTTTGCATGAAGCGATTCATATGTATAACTGGGTTGTCAAATTTTAAGGACCCCACATTACAGTATGGTACACTATACCTATTGGCTATTATAAAAAAACGATCGACCTTCTAAGCAGTGGCGGCCCCGGGCCCGTCATAGGAGACTTTGAAACTGAGTTTCCCCATAAATATCTTTAGCTACTAATAAATAATTATATTTCATCATGTAGCTGAACGGGCCATGAAGGCCCAACGCTGCCGTCATGAGATGGTTTCTTGACGAACTCGCTTCCGGGACGGGTCGTCAATCCGTCGCCGGAGAGGGGGATGGCGGTTCCTTTTTATCGGACGATTGCTCGCCCAGCAAACGGAGCGCCTGTGACCGAGTGTCGAACCGGCGACAGTGAGCGCTAACACACTGCCGCCTTACCCACTCGGCCACTCCTCTTCCTAAATAATTATATAAACAATAATAAATAATATGGACATTCTCCCGAACCACAAAGTATATCCGATTTATTTTATTGTGTTTATTAAAGTCCACGCAATCTGTAAACAGTTATTTTGATGGATTTGTTATGGAATACGGCGGTCGCCGGTTCAGTGGAATGGGCAACAATCGACCGGTCGTTTCAATCATAACAGGTAGTGTTATCGGCGGATTTGGTTAAGAGGGTCAGGGAGAATTAGCCGCGTAATAATTTTATTAATGTGAAAATGGAAAAAGACATATTTTTGGATTTTTCATTACAAATAATTTTAATACGTGTACGTTGCAAGTATAACACTTGCAGTTCAAAAAATCAATAAATCAAAGATAATAAAGGTTCTTCTTGTTTGATGTTTTTTTTTTTAGTAGGTAATAATAGTTAAAGTTTTCAGTTTCCCCTGAATATTTTCCTACGGGCTGTCACTGCTTCTAAGAGTTTCAATATATGCTTCAGGTGTTTATAAGAAGTCAATTAGACATAGTCTGTTTACATTGGAATACAGGAGTAATCAACAACAACAAAAACCTTTGATTATAGTTAGAAAAAACTAGATATTCTACATATACCTACACTACAGTCTACAATGGATTGTTCAACACATTTGACCGCTGAATATTTACTAATGTCTACACTCTACCGTATGAAACTTTCTAAAATGTATACAACGTTTTTCGTTAAGGATTAAGAAAACTAATTCCAGAAGAACAAAAATAAATAGTTTAACAGAACATGATATATTGTACTAATTTAACTGATATTACCGCTTAAAACTGAAACAGCGACACTACAAACTTATACCTCGTTGTTGTTTCTGAGAACAGATTCGCCTAAGTTTGCCTTATGCAAAGCATGTGTGTTGGGTTACTTTAGAGCTATTTTACCTGTATCAGCTTAGCTTAGATGTTTTATTAATACGATCTTGCCGGTCGCAGGGTCATTAGACTGTTACAGTAAAATATCATCCAAGCGTTTGATATATATATTAATTATTTTCGACTGTAGGCTCGGCAACAGACTCTATACCGCGTCCCACGTATGTAACATTAAGGACTATTTAATTGTTCTTAAAATCTGCGTGACGCATATAATTAATACCTTTAAGTGATTAACAACCGTAAAGTATCCGACAGCATGTTTAACCCTTGTTTCACATACACGGGGATGGTTGCAGCCAAAAACCGCACACTTATGATTTCAATCCCAAAAAGGTAGGTAGACAAAAACCGCACAATTAATCGGTTGCCAGTAGGTACACTATATAGCCAAATACCGCACACTTATATTGGGTAAAGAAAGGTACAACGTATACAAGGGAATTCAAAATATTATCCGTTTTTAATTGAAAAACAAAAATAAGTTAGTTAATAGGCACATTTTAATACATCATTTTTAATTAAATTGGGTTTATTTTTAGGAACACTTGTTTAAATGTTGGGAAGAATTTTTAGGGAGATTTTTGAAGAATTTTTAAGGACGGAGATCGTTTGAAATTTCTTAAGAACGTCGGCAATCAAGTATAGCCAAAAAAAATTTGATCATTTTTTAAAAAAAATGTATTAAATTAAATTAATTAAAATGTTTCAATATTTAATTTGTACCTTAAAAATGTTCTTTGAATAAATATATAAGTATTAAATCATAGTTTATACATCATTATAAAATGTGCGGTTTTTGGATACAGCAATTTTAAAAAGTATTCGGTTTTAACCTACTAAATGTGTGCGGTTTTGCCCTGTATTTTATCACAAGTGTGCGGTTTTTGGAGTCAACGACGGGGATAAGGGTCTGATGGCCTACAAAATTTAAACGTTGAAAGAAATGTCGGTTGGGACGTATAATGATGAATGCGATCCGCCAGTTTCCAAACCACTGTAAAACAAATTTTTTATTTTAGATATTACCTTTTTCCTGCACGTGCCGTCGCTGACTCTATTAGTCTAATATACTATGTTTAAAAGGTTCTTGAATATATATATATATATATATATATATATATATCAACAAAGTGATATACATAGTTGCGATAGTCCGACACAAAAGATGCTCTGGTTTCATCTCAATATCATGATCAGGTTTATGTAATGAAAACTATAAGTAAAGAGACCCGTAAGTAGACCGAAAAATAAGAGAAAAATCAAAACTTAACTTTTAAAAAAAAAACTCATCTTTTCAAGCACAAAACACTCGATGTATATATTTTTTATAATTATAATTAGGTATAATTGTCATGATCAAAACAATAATAAATTATAAAATACAATCTGTGATATAAAAAATAAATCATCTCTTGTGCGTCATGCGATTTCACAATAAAAAAGACAATTAACAAAAAAATTTCGACTAGACGTATATACATAATAATATATAAAACAAATAAAAACAATTATAAAATTTAAAGAGTAATAAAATTTATACTACATAGTTTTATATTAAACACAAGACGTACATATGATAATATATGATTGTATATATTGTACGTGAATTGTTTAATGTTTTTTTTTTAGTAGTATACATTTTCGGCAAGGTCGGCAAGTGGTATAAATACCATAAGACTTAACATATTTTAATCTATAAAAAGTCGTTTGTTACGGCAGCAAATGAAAATGTCAACATTTTTGTTTTTGTGCCAAATTTAGATATTATACCCTAACAGTAACAATTATTAATATTTTATCAGAGACTAAATAAACGTAAGCTGACGCCCATATAACTGCTAACCTAACGTAACGTCCGTATGTTATGTTAAATTTAGTGCTAAAGGTTGATAAGAAAAAACTCTATTTATAACTTTGTTTATGTGTGATAAATGGGAATCCCATGCATGCAATAATAAAATCAATTTGTAAATATTGTTAATTATGTAAAAATACTTTATGATTAACCGCAAATCAAATAATAATGTTTACCGATCCAGAATACAAAACTAGTTTTAATATTTTATCGATTCATAATAATGTGGTGTAGACTAGCATAAAACATGTTTTAATTAATCAAATTTGTTGCATTTTTTTTCTATCAGCTCTTTTTTTTTTTTTTTGCTATTATTAATACCCACTTACTCTGAAGATTCAAAGGTCTATAATTTGTACTTTTTTAATTTAAAAAACAAATTTTCTGCTAGCGGACTTAATTACTCGTTAGCCTAACCAAACTGATTGAGAGTCGACATTATAACGTTTCTATCACAAAGCGTAAATGTTTTAACCGCCGGGTAATTCTTTGATGAGAAGAATGCTTAAGTTTCAATTTCTATGTATATTATTATTACAAACGAGTTTTTTGTTGGGCAATAACCGTAAAGCTCCCAAATTAAACTACCAAAATAAAAACGAAATCGTTAAAAATCGAATAATTTTTTATTTACAAGTAAATACACTGTAATAGATACTAGAATTAGTTAGTTCAATAATCAAAAACAAAATTTAATATAATGTGAACACATGAGACGGCCACATCACATTGCCAGGAACACCAGGTTAGCTAATTATTTTTTCAATGCCCTATTTTCGTTTTTCCAGCTGTTCAATTAATCTAATAAAAATAAGCCAATTTTTTAGAAAAAATATATCACCTACAACAATCTCGAAACCGACAATATTGTGTTTCTCTTGCGCGCCATATGTTGTTCGATTTGTTTTATTAGGAATCTCAAAAAACCTCCCCCGGCCAAGCCGTATAACTCTTATTTTCGCGGTGCCATAAAACGGACAATAACTAATTGGCACTAATTATTATACGGTAACAGTCGATTACAACTAAATATTGTTTACATATATAATAAAACATCCGAAAAGCTTTGTACGAAAAATCCAAAAACAAAAAACAAAACAAAGCGTGCGGGCAGAGCAAAAGAAAACATTCAGTTTTTTTTTTTTTAACTTAAGGCATTTACTACTGTACACAGTGACCGTTACAAGAATATAATCTATAAACAGTTATTCGATTCTGCAAACCGTTAAGGAAAGCGCAGGCAGGCGTATTTCGGTAGTACATGCGGTAGACGCCGAATTGGTCCTGGGTCTCACCTGCGTCACTAACGTTCTCCTAGTGCGTATGTTGAACGCCCCGTACACTATGGGGTTCATGCATGAATTGGTGCACGCAAACATGAACAACACGTGTTGCACTTTCTGGTCCACCATTTGTGCCGATATGTTGTCCGTCCAATACCTGCAAGCAACACACACGTCAAGTATGATTTATTGTTAGCATCAAATTGATTATTTCCAAACGCTCGCGAAAGCGTTCGAGAAAAAAAAGTACATAGATAGTAGATGGCCAAACTAAAGTTATGATTAATATACAGAAACGCGACAGGGATTGTCCAGGTGGAATACTTAAAATAAACAGTTGGGCTAACCAAACATTTAGTCGGCCGAACTAAATGTATAATGTAGTTGCTTTAAGAGGGCGTTGCGCCGGTGATTTTCAGTGGTAAAAACATGTTTATGCCAACTGAAAATAACTCGCTTAATTTTGGTTTTAGAGTAAAAGCACCCATCATAAAATTAAAAGAAAACAATATTGCGGAGGGCAAAACGGTGCGTTTAAAAAAAAAAAAAATCATTTTTTGAAAAGTTACAGTCATTTAAAAATGTTAAAATAGTCGTTATTTCTAAACTATGTATTGAGCGTCATGCTTGGAATAATGAAAAAACGCACCGTCTTGCCCTCCGGAATATTGTTCTCTTTTAATTTTATAATGGGTGATTTTACGTGAAAACCAAAATTAAGCGAGTTATTTTCAGTATGCTTAAACGTGTAGAGATGAAAAAACATTTTTAAATCGCTTTCAAGGATGCTGTGATAGTCCAAAAAATAAATTAACTACCAAAATAGAGTTCTAGTTATTGAACTAATAATTACACATCACAGTTTAACCTTTAAATTAAGATTTTGTAAAAAATTGCCTATACTTTACTCCTTAAAAATGGTCGGTGCGGCGTCCTCTTAACAACAATACTTAATCTAAAAAAACCTTGAGCAACTTATGGTTATATAAATATATATATATATATAATTAAATTGTTGTCATCTTCAGCGCTAACGACAGACTACATTGTTGCCGAAAACGTAAACGCGGAGAGTGTATTATTTTATGGTTAAAGGTGTTTTAAATATTATTTTACTTTACAACAACACTAATTAGTTTACCCAATTATGCATTTTTCCCCCGCGTTGTAACAAAAATAATTTAATAACCCACATAAAACCGCACAACGTTTTGTTTTAACTCGAAGACTATGTCTAACCTAACCTAACCTAACCTACCGTACAAGCATATAGAAAGAAAGTCATCCAAGTGAGGCCAAGTCAGTCTTGTGAAATCGATTTCATCACATCAAGCGTTATGCTTGCGAATTTCGAAATAGTATAAGGAAGCCCAGCACAATAAAAACTTAGGACAACAAAGAAAAAAATCAGTCCACGGTAAAAACAACTTTATCTCGTTTACAGGCACAAGTGTCACATAAGTCAATGCCTTCTCAACTGCGCGTTAATGGTTAACGCTGACCAAGCTGGTCGTACTATTGCTTTCTTATAGTGAAAGAAAATTGCTAGCACTCAAATCATTCAATTATTGTCTTTCTCGTCTTATCTTATAGAAAAAGGTTTACCTACTCCACAAAACGGATTACTTGATTTAAATACACAAATTTCGGGGGTTGCGTGGACGTTCATTAAATGTTTAGTAGATCATTAGACATTTATTATTACCGTGAACAACATAACATACGTACTGACTCATGATTGGTCCATTAAATTTTAATGAATTATTAAATTTGTATGTAACCCTTCATAATGATACCATTTTAAACCAGTATTATTATTCTGACAAAAATGATCAACATTTAAAAATAGGGACACACGCCGAGTAAACTGGACGCGTTTTGGGGGCCCCAGGGGCAAAAATAAGCATGCGGGCAGTTAATCAATTATCTTTCATCTCATCGGTCCAGCGGTGTTCGACTAGTAAGTCCAACCGCGTTTGACCTTTCCTAGCAAACGGTGTTCTTGGCTACAAGCCAACAGCATTACTTTTCTATATTTCTCTTACGGTGTAGGCTAACAACCGTATACATCCTACTCCACTACTGTCCGTTCCAAACAGCTTACGCCAATTACATTAATAGTTATTTATTTTTTATTTATAGGCTAACCACCGTGTTCCACCCCTCAGCTTATATATTTTTTTCTCTCTTTTGCACTATTTGGGACGTTATTGTAAGTAAGAATCTTAAATATTCGTAGTTAGGAGTAATTTTCTAACCCATTCGCTCCAGCGGTGTTTATACTTAAAGTATCAACCGCGGTTGGGCGATTCGGTTTTATTCTTTATTTTTTTTCTTTTAGCGTCTTTCAACATATTTTCAAACATCAGTGTAACGTAGATGAACACATATTTATTACTAGAAAAGAATAATAAAGGATTAAAAAATTCTTTTTAAAAAACAACGAGAAAATTACGAGTTATTTAATTGTAGTTAGAGAGTAGTTAGTAAACCTTTCATTAAAATATACTTCATAAATTAAAGAACAGACCTATTCTGTCAAAAACATAAGTGATAGGATTGTGTTGATAGGTAGGGATTGTTTCACTTTGGAGGATACTTGTTGTTAAATATTATAAAATATCACACACACTCGGTAAATATTTATAAATTACCAGGGTTTTATCGACAAAAACCTCCTTTCAAATTATTAAACAGAAAAATAGTGTTCTTTTATTTTGTTCTTCTAACAAGTTTTTAAAATGTAGTTAACGACCTTTTTACCTTTTTATTGGTCGAATTATAAACCTTTTGTTTCTGTTCCTTCTCTATGATTTTTGTTATGTATTATATTCAAACATTAAACGTCATGAGTATCTATATATTTTCATGAATAGTAGTAAGTATAAACACGGAAAGGGAATTGAAAAAAAAACTTACACGACCTGTGATTCGTCATTATGATAGGACATTAAAGCTAAACTTTTTTTTTAACGCAACACCAAACATTTTTCATTTTAAAAATATCGACGAAATATCATCAAGTCATAAAATTATGACAGCCCGCTCTTACTTAAATGTGCACAGAAAATTTTAATTTATCAATATTGTTTTTTCAAAACCTTTTATAGTCTCGAATGTGACTCGAGATGAGCATTCAAGAAGAACCAAAATTTGTAGGGCATGACGAAATAATATTAATACAAAGGACGGCGTACGCTGTATGCAAAACAACAACTCCCACGTCGGGGACGCTCATACGGATAACCAAAGAATTCACCAGATAAACCATTTCAATCTATTTATTTTAAACTATCCCAACACCTAGTCATTGAGGAATGCCTCATGTATTATTCTAACGGAATTTTTAAAATAACTTATTCGTTAAGAGAGCAAATCCTTTTGAGTTTAATCGAATGGCGAAAAGAGCGAGTTGATAATACTGAACGAAATACAAAACAGCCGAGTCTGCAACCACGAAAGAGTATTTTCATGTCTCGTTGAAGTACAGAATAAATTTAGAGTAGTGGTAGAATTATAGATAATGAAATAGTATATTAACAAGCTAGTATCTAAGGTGGCTAGTAAACATATCAAGTTTCTGGCTTATACTTTAGTGATTTCATAATATCTGGCCTTAAACAATTCATAGGAAATACAACATATCTCCCACCCCTATCACCTACCCCTATCTTCTACCCATCTCATACCCCTATCTCCTACCCCGTGTAACGCTTTTGTAACGAACGCTTTTTTCGGTTATGTGCCAGAGCTAAGACATGAAAATGTCAAAAAAATGTAAACTCAATAAATGGCCAAACTGCCATGAAGTAACACACAGAAAGTAGTAAAGTGTATCAACAATATAAATATAAGGCCTGCAAAACTAAAGCACGCGGTAATCTTGTACTTAAAAAAAGCAAAATCACGTGTACCGGATGTGGGTAATTATACTAACGACTTCATCGTCTTAGAATGCCTATCGAAAATCTAAACGGAAACCGCTCAAACAAAGGCACATAGAACTAGACAGTAACAGTCTGTTCAGAAATAATATGCGTTGAAAATATTCATTTTAACAATAATGAACAACTTTTCTTAACTAATTTTCATTATTTTTATTACTGTCACTAAAACGATGTTATCGCTATTATTTTTTTTTTATTTTGAGCTGGCTTGACAGTTCTTTGTGTTTAACATTTTAAAATGACTTCTCTTACTGACTCTTATTATTATATTGCTAGTATATTGTAAAATAAGCTGCAGCAAATATTTATAATGTTATTATGAATATACAGTATGTGATGATATAAGACAAAATATAGTATATAATTTAAAATATATGCTACAACATAATAAATATGTATTAAATATGTTATTGAATAGCACTTCATTGAAAAAGGATAACAGGCGGCTTATAATACTAAATCGATACTCCAAGGAAATGTTGAAAAAACATCTACAATTGAAAAAAAACAATAGTAGTGAAAACAATAAGGTCTATTGCATATTTTTATGTATTCTGATATAGTTTTTTATGATATTTATATTTTAAATAAGAAGATAAATACAAATCACAGAACTTTTAACTTAATCATTTATTAATATTAAACACAATATGCATTTCTGCACATATTATGACTAAATCGGGGCACCTATTTCTAAAGAATAAAAAATGAACTGTATTTTATGCGCATTATCATTGGCGCAATCGCTCCATCATAAAACTTGAGCACCTACTTAATTTTAAGAAGTTGCCTTCTCACTAATAAAATCTGGATACGTATCTGACGGCAGGTAATTTGTATGTACGAAAAAATAAATCAGATTATCAATGTTTTTTTTAATATTCAAATTTAAAATATTATTTTAAAGAGTTGTTCGAAAGGTTAATTTTAAAAGCCAAACAGCAACTTACATATTTGATTTAGCTCTTGAAACCAGAATGATATAATAGTTTTTTTTTCTATAAAAAAGCATATGACAATTTTTTTTGGCAAAAACTGTGATATTTGTCTATTTTTTTACAAAAATGTTTTTTATTCACATGTAAAACGCTACAAGTCATTCGACATTTTAATTTTAATCTTATTAATCAATTAGTTTAATAAATTCTGTACTTATGCCTTTTACACCGTCCGTATATATTACGGTAGTCAGTTGGCTTATTGATTGTTT